ACAGTACTACACAGGTCCCTGGGATTCTACGGCCACGTCGCGTTCTCGCCTCTTCAAAGCCTTGGACACTTATCTCCAGAACTAACTCGTTAAGGATGCACTTTTGCTTTTGAATTGGCATCATATGGTATGGGAACTTGTAACATCCAGGAGGCTCTCGTCACGGTATAGCATTACTCTAATTCTTGTGCCTAGATGATCACTCTTCAAGGAACACCACGAAGCTATATATTATTAGTCTCACGATTTCCACCGCGCTGGACTTCTCCAATACATCTGCATGTGTATCAATGCCTAATAATCCGGCCTAACACTGCCATTCCCATAAACCCCAACAAAGGAGTCGGTCATCTCTGGCCAAGGCTAACGAGCTACGTTTTCGCTCCTGTACAGTTCCTTCTACTCTACAGTAGCTTCCGAGGAAACGGAATAGCCGTCATTGTATATAACATCAACTAACAGCCTGATCAGAGGCCGCAGGTCAAGAGATTGCGCGACAGTCCAAGGGGTACACAACACTTCCAACCTGCTCGTGCACTCAACTCCACAACCTGTTGAGAACCAGAACTCACTGAGAGTGATCAATTATGTATTGCAATCACCATATCCTAGCATGATGCAGCGGACAGGCCGTATGTCTTGCACGTTTCGAAGGCATCATCGCCAACATATCAACCCTGGCTACCTCAATACTCTACACGGAAACGTATGCTGAGAGTTGTATCCTCGATGATAGTATTACCGCCCTTGTATATAGCAGGACAAACTTCGAGGAGATGTAAACCATCTTTCGAATTCTACTAATTCGTTGCCTGCATAACCGATTTTACGGTCACCGAGGATGAGATAAGGCGTCTTCGTCCAAACTTTCCCTGAATTCAAGCGCCGCAACGATCAAGCTTACAATTATGCCGGCCGCAGAAGGATGGACTACATACCATTCTGTTATTTTCTAGGCGAAAACGTCAATTTAAATTGTATAAGGCTCCAGGTAGTATAAATCCTAGCATTTTCACTTGGCTAACATGTTCGCCGCATTTTCTAGACGTTCTATCATCTATATGTTATCTCAGACACTTACACCTCGTCTCGCCAGCAGCAAATACCTGATGATAGACATGTTTCGTAATGAGTTCAAATCCTAACAACTAATATTTTGACAAGCTTTCATATCGTTATACCGATTTCTGAGCTCCGACGTATCCTGTGAGTTCAAACAGGCATACTGACCTCCATTGTGCCCTCTGAACAGTTTCAGTAGACTGGAGGCTTACCAGAGGGCCTATGAAATTTCGGAGATATTCAAGTAACCAACGATCAAGGTGAAGACTCTCAAAGCATATCCAAGGCTGAAGTAACGATCATCTGAGAATCTCGGAATATTACCACCAAGTCTGTTTTGGACTTATTTAATACGGCCAGATGTACCCAGCAAACTGTCGCCGATATCACCGGGATCAAAAGTGGGCAATTTAATGGCATCACCAAGCCTCTCTACCACGCCTCGCCATTCCTTATCCATAGAGAAAGAGGACCTCTATAACATACACAAATCAGTTCGACAGAGATATCAATATACAGGCCAGCTCCCTCAAGTCTGTGGATCACTCCACGAGTTCAAGCCGCTCTGCTTCCCCACTTCCATTTCTCTTAAGCTTCTGTATATGGAATCTCGTCTTTCACAGCACCCCCAGCCTCAAAGATCATTCAAGAAACAAACTTTGTAAGACGATGATAAAACCTGTGCCTCCTATAGATTATCTACTTGTTGCCAATTGGATATCCTTTAATGTTGCTCGGCGTAGCTTGGGCCGTCTCTTAGGATCCATGCTCCGTTGTATGCATCCTTTCGCGAATTTGTCGTCAACACATTTCGTCTCACGTGCTCTATCAACCAGCACTTCTTGAATGATATTTGTTTCTAGTAATGGGTTCTTCGGCTGGACCTGGTCATGGTGGAGAACCATATCGGGATCCTGATGCAGATTCTACTAAATGTCGGTTTGTAACTGCTCCCATTCATCATGAGATCTTGGGTAACGTATGCAGCCAAACCAGGAACCTCTCATTATCCCAGTCGTCATTCGGCATTTTATTAGACAAGAGAGTCCGGTGATTGCCAAAGAGATCATGGAAGTAATTGCTAAGTTTTGTTTTGACATTTAACTTGGATGCCCCATGTTTCGGGACAGCCCTAAGAGTTGTTCTTGTCAAGTCCTTGCAACCAACTCTCAAGGGAGTATTTTTCACTTCTTTAACGACTTCACAGCGTAACAACACCAAGACCTTTAAAGTTTCAGACGGGTACAAAAGGTCCAGAGAGATAAAGGCACGTCATTGGTGTAGAAAAGTATAGATTGGAGTTCGGATACAACAAATACGAATTTGTTGATTGTGAGTTGGCTACCCTAAACTCTCTGCCTGTGAGGCACTGGAGCACAGTTACAGTCCTTTGCGTTTTTGTGGTTGCGGTTGTTTTTTGATTGAGGAGGAGGGTAACCCCGCTTTCGCGAAACTGACGTCTAGTCACGTGAACAGCACCCTCATCTGGCAAGTGCTTGATTTCCCTTATCTGAAGCGAGCCATCTCATCTTAGCTAAAGTCTGATTCTTAAGCTCAATTCGGTGGTCGTCACACGAACCCAACCATACGAGAATGGCAAGATCAAGTTTTGATTTATAATCGCTCACCTAAACTTTGTGATGAGCCTTTTTTGAGTTGTAATGACTTCTAATAAGTCTTTATTGCAGGGTCCACGCAGAACTTTCTCTCCCGCGAAGCAACCGTTCTGTGGATGCCGCTCCGGCCCTACCCTTTTTTCCGAGCTTGTTTCGGCGCCTGGCTTAGGCCGTTGTTAACATAAAGCCAGCCAGCTTCTTGTCCCATCTAGAGTGCCCATATAGCGACAGGCCATTCTTTAGCTTGTTATAGGAATGGCCAACCTCTGCAAAAGACCTGTCGATTACCGTTGTATACTTATTGCCGTGCCCCTCATGATGGCCTGACTGACCTGGACCTCGAGGTTGTTGGTGGCTCCATTGTTTCCCCGCATCGCTTACATGAATACCCTGTACCTTTCAGTAAACAAGCATTTTCAGGCAGATATTTAGATACATAGCTTTATTGTCATTTTAAATGACCTTGTGGCAATTCCATTGAGAAGTCCGTTATAATGGAACCGTTTTTTGCCTGCAGCCGGAATAACAATCTGAAACAACGTCTACACAGCAAATTCCAACGCTCAATTAAGGATGGTTTCCAAGACCCCGCTGGAAAATGAGGTTGCGTCAATAAAACAAAGAATCCGCCCTCGGATATGGCATTAAACTGGACGTAAATCACGTTGGCTATTAAAACAGCTCCTAGCGATTCCAGAAATATATAATTCATCAGTTTGTGACCGTGTTTGTGTTGTTAAATTAATTTCGCAATTGAAAATGTTATCGTGAGTGTCACGCATACGTAGACTTACAAATGCGCCACAAGAGGTACCTAAGTTACACCTCAGAGCCCATCGAGTCCGTAGACTTATAATCACCACACAGAACTTAGAGTCAGTAGACGTGTTGAGATGTATAAGATTCAACCGCCTGTCGGATGAAATTGCTTTTGGGTTTGAACAGACGGCTGAGGGCAGAGGATGGAGATGGTGGGCATAATACTTCCCAATCAAAAGATACAATGACAGCTCCCATGAAAGCACCAGCGAGAAAACAGACACGCACTCAACCGAAACGAGGGGAGGCAGAGGTTCCCACCATGCATCAATTCGGAAACATGTCACAATTGTGCAAGCTATCTTCTTTGACAACATGCCTGAAGTAGTTAAGGCGTGATACTGCTCGACCAACAGCGGCGGAGATGATGGTGCCTTAACCATTCGCGTCCTCTTTCATCTCAATCGACTCCTCCGCCAGAGTCTCTGGTCATTGTATTACAAGCTGTCTCATCGCCATGCGAAATTGGTGGCTTCATCGATCAGGCCAATGAAGCCTTGGGTGAGCCCTCATCACCGCCCGCTCGTATCAGTCACATCGTCCAAGAAAGTCCCGTCTGCCCGAGTGCAACTCTTGTGGAGGGTATGACCAAGCGCCTGACGATAATAAAGCTCCAAAGAGCAGCGCAAAACCTGACCGAACCTGTTGCACAGCCCTTGTTCGAGTAACGAAGCTCGATAATAACGAGGTTGCACCTGAAACAGGGCGCCAATACGGAGAGAGTAAGAACAGTCTTGGCGGTATCATCAGTGGAGATGACAATAGCGCACTCGGGCCTCGTACGTGTCGGACATGGCCGAAGCGAATCTCCAGCAGCGTAGAGGCTGCTTCCAATGTCCCCGCAATGAGCGCAATACCTCAAGCACGCCTCAAGGATAAACTGTCAGACATCATTTTCGTGGTGCAGCAAGTCAGGTAACATCTGTGCTACAGGTTCATTTCTCGAAGCGACCTCATCCAACACATTGACAATGAGTAACCTCGACGACAAGGTCATCACTGGTCGCAGGCCTCAACGATATTTTCGGGCAGTAACAAGGGTATGTATACTTGCTTGTGCCCCCGAGGGTTTTCTGTGTGTTTCTTATGAACAAAATTCCCTCCCTCTCTGGGTAAATTTCCCTTACTGCGTCTCTTATCCCCAATATGATCCACGGAGGACGTCTCTATTATGCAAAGGCGATAACCTTTGAGTAAAGCACCGTCAATTACCATCAATAACTCGTCGTCAAAGAGAACATCATCAAACTTGTTGAGACAAACAAAATGCATTAACAACGCCTAGGAAACATCAACGCGCCCCATCTAACAAAGAGTAGCGTCCCCCGACCGACCGATCAACAGCCAAGTCGCCCATCACATCGCGTTTCTACCTACAACCATATTTCTCGTGATTATCCCGCACGAATACAATGCAATCATCCCACTCAATCACTGTCCCTCCCGAGATACAACCCCGATCCTGCTGTCGCCAGCGGGTCTCAGCATTGTCCTTCTAACATTTTACTCCACGTCCATTTCCATGCCGTTGCCCTCTGCCTCCGGGGCCACCTCCTCCCTCTCGGAGCCAGCGTTGTCGTCCCAAAGAGTGTCATCGAGGGCGTTGAAAAACATTTCAAGACGCTTAGCAGGCCATCCTCCGATATCTTCCCGGGAATACGACCGGATGACCGCCATCAGGCTGAGATCAACTGGCCTGTTGGCCCTGCCTATCCCGCCCATGTTTTCGATCTCTATCCCGAGACGACGGATCGACTCGACTAGTTTCTGGAGATTAGTGGTCTCGCGAGCCTTCTCTGGTTCAAGCAGTTTAAGCTTCTCCAAGCACGTGTTGTAGATATTGAGAGGGGCAACGGCGTCCCCTACGACATCTGGTGCAAGAGGGGCCATGTGGTTTCTGTACCAGGCTATGTCCCGTTTAAGCTTTTCGATTCGTCGATGGCATTCGGCGTGTTGGCTGCCTTCATTCATTAACCTTGCGACCAAGTCGGCGATCTTGTCAGATCGGGGCTCGTTCTACACTGCCCCTTCGAGACAGAGTGTCAATGACGCGTAGGCCTTCTCATCTCTGGCTCCTTTGATGGCAGAGGCCTCAGCCTCATGCCCAACATCTGGGTCTTCAGCAACAAGGATCTGCTCTGAGGCAGCTGAGGGAGAGGTTGGAGAGGAAGGTACATGCATATTGGTTCGCCGGGAGGTGGCGGCCTTTCTGCGCTTCGGAGCCTATACGGCTAGTCAGTCTCTTACATTCGATGACAGACAGCGCTCCACAGTACATACCGGCTCGATTGAGTCACCTGTCTCTTTAGATGGCCGAGGCGTCTTGGAGTGGCGGCTGGAGCGCCGCAGTTCCATTCCGTTGCCGGTCTTGTCAGGCTGAGCCGTCTGCTCGTCCATCATTGTTGACGGTAATGGAGGTGACGGTGACGATGACGGTTATGAGAATGAAGATGAAGATGCTGATGTCGTGGAAGAAGTGAAATGCTTCAACGTGGGCAAGACGCCGATAAAAGACCAGACAGCACTCAACATCACACCGCCAACGCAGTTACACAAACGACGATGCAAGATTACCATGACGGCATTACTACTTGGTCGTTTGAAGGCCGTGCCGTTTGACGGCCGAGTTGATGCTTCTCTCCCTACAACAGAGCTCTGTCAAAGAGACAGAACAGCTAATGTTGGCATAGGTCACCCATCGCCTCCCAAAAACTCAAGCTGGCAAGCCATCCCTCAAAGCAAAGCACTGCAAGAACACCATGGGCCATCGTCTTGGTCGCTATTGCGTCTCCAACCTGGGCCTCAGCATACAGTACAGCGGCCTCTGAGTCCAGCCACGCAGATTTGTTTTTTTGTTGCGTCGGACGTCGTGTCACGCCAAAACTTTTCATCTCCACAATACGTACCTCAACCCCTCACCTCGGCAGGATCGAAGAGAACAAGATTCCAGGACCAACTCCCCGAAGACCATACATCAAACAGATGTGTTGTATATCGTTTTGAAGCTCAAATTCGGGAGGTTCTGATGAACGGTTTCGATCGAGAATGGGGCAGCGGTGGAAAGCGAGAGATGCTTTATGCTGCACAGCCTGATTCTGTACTTGGGTACGGTATCTGCCCCTGTTTGTTGTTTGGCGATGGCTTGACGCGCCAAGCCAATACTGTTTTCTTTTTCCGATCTAGCCGTCTCGTGTTCGTTTTTCGCCGGCACTGGGGCTGCAGAGATCCGGGTCACCTGAGCATCCAGGCCTTGATTTTGTGTGGTGGAAACGGCAACGTTTGGCTCTATGTCGATCTGGAATTACGTGATGAGGGCGATGTAGTCTCTGGTTTGCTCGATTTTACCACGATGCGAAGCATTCACGGACGTGTTGAGACAGTTGGAGTTGGTCAATTCTGGAGGGTCGTCGAGCCTTTGGAGCCGGAGAAGCCTACGATGGCCGCTGCCATGGAGTACCTTGATTCAATGGCCACTCAGAGATATGATCATGTCCATGGTGTCAGATGATAGAAAGTCCAAGTGCTATATACCATCTTTTGGCGAGATGCAACAGCACAGAGTCAAGCGACAATTCAACATGGTATATATGGGATAGGATAACTCAATGGTGCGTTGGATTCTGTGTACTCTTGTGATCCAATCTACTTCTATTTACCGATGAATAAAAGTCTGTGATTCAATCCAATCTTTTCCGGTCCTTTTGCAACCATCACTTCTTCTGGCTATGAGAACGAAGGACTCGGTTACTCTGGGCGGCATCGCCAGCGCCGACACTCTGCTCTCTCTTGATCTCTTCCCTCTTCTGCATGTCAGAACAAAGGACTCGGTAAACGCGGGCGGCGCTTCGCTGTCTCTGGATCTTCCGATCCTCGGTGGTCTCTTCGTCACTTCCAAGATCAGCCTCGGCACGTCTCTTGAGCGACTTGCGCATCTTGTCGCCGGGAGGAGTCTTGACGCGATTGGCATTCTCCGCATGGTCACCAGTCCCCTTGCTGGGAAGAGGATCCTCGAATAGACCGCCATCCTCCCACCTCTGTTTCGAGACGGTGCGCAGAATCGCACGTAGGCCGGGGTCGATGTTGGGATCCTGCTGAAACTGTTGCATGACCAAGTCATATTCCAAGCACAGACGGAGGATATGCATGCACCAACGGATGGTAGCAGTATCTTGGCCTTGGGCTCTGATTACAGGCCATACTGCATGTATCTCCCTCAATCGGTTGAGAATATCCTCCGCTCGGTCCCAGTAGTCATCCTCGGGTTTGGCATGGCTCAAGGTGTCGGATTGGCCATCGGGGTCGGGGGTAGAGTCTTTGACGGAAGACATGGTATATCAACCAAAGCGATGGGACGATTCGCGGTTTTCTGCTTTCCATCAGTACATAGACATATCGTGTATCAGCTTGCGTGTACGTACTGCAAATAGTGGATAGCGTTGGTGTTTGGTAGACAGCATGGGATCTGGCCGCTCGTTGAAGGACTTGCAAGGGCGCGACGAGGCTAGAGGTAAGGAAGAAGTTGGAAAGAGAGAGAAATTCATCAGGCAATAGAAAGTGGTGCCAGTATCAATTTCTGTCATGAACGGTGGACGAGACTGTGTTGTACGGCATGACGCTTAGGCTTAGATCAGCCAATCAGTAGAACTCACTTCTTCGCAAGAAAAACACCATTATCTGAACAATTTCTCAACGAGGTTCCCACTAAAAAAATGAGGGATAAAACGAAGGCATCGATGATAGCAGTGAGAATTTGTCGTTGTTTCATTTGTGAATGTCGTTGACTGATTTATTCCGTAGGTCGCGTCGGGGATAACGGCTGCGGAGCCGGATGGAGCCACCAAGGATGGATCCGAGATCAGATCTAGATCCACGTACCGAGAATCGCGACAGGGACAGCGGTACTATCATTGGTCCTGAGTCCCCACCGCCCAAAGCAAGCATGGCGTGGTGATGAGTCTAGGGTGACGATTTTCCAGCATGAGATAACATACGGCCCAACACCATCGAGAGATTGCCAGTTGATAAAACAACTAGGATTACTTTTATATTTCTTTGTCTCTTTTTGATTTGCAGGAATTGATTTGTTATATCGCTGTTCTCGATCCCCAAACTGTTGCATTACCGCAGCCATAATTACACAGCGTAACGACAACTTAAGTCAAGCGCCAAAAGACTCGGATCGCACATAGTGGCCAGCACCCAGGTGCCCAGCGTAACCTCCGCGGTTCAACGGAACAAATGTAACCGGTGAAACACATAACGGCCAAGCCACAGACCAAAAACAAGCTAAGCAAAGACCCAATCTGACCAGACGGCCACTATCAACAGTACCTCTTCATACCAGGACATCAGACCAAGTTGCAAGTATTTCAGATAATGCAATTCTCAGACTGTCACTTTAAGTCTCACTGATACTTTAAAGCTTGCGTTTATGCCGCTTTTATCAGCAGTCGATCGACACTAGGGCAAGCTGCATAAAAACAATTCACCAACACCTTCGCTGTCTCAAAGGTTGACATTGATGTCTGTTGCTCGTTACGTGCGCACAGCGGCAAAAGCCAAAAGGGCCGTGCGTGGAGCACTAATGGAAGCTACCGGGGCCAATGTCCCCTGTTTTGGCAGCGCGAACAGACTCTACCAATGTCGTTGGGTCTGTGAGATCAATAAGGTCACACCACGCACCCACGTTGCAGTCGAATAACATGCAATATGTAGAGAAAACACGACCAGAGCTGCTGCACTGCAAGATTTACACAAGTAGATATTGGTGGTGGTTTTTGATCCAGATGAATCGAGCCAGTGGTGCCCGGTTAGGCTACCCAGATAGGCAAGGTTGCCAAGAAGTCACGCTTATTCTGAGCTTCTGTTTTTATCTGCAGTACTTACTGTACCTGAAATTCACTGGAATTGAACCCAAGGCACTTGGGGGGCAGCTCAATCACAAACAAGGCGACAAATCACTGTCGATAAACCCGGGAAAGGAATTTCTGTTGAACATGCGGCCGGAAGCAGAGAAAATATCTGCTTCAAGGCTGGTTGTCGACTGAGGACGAGGTTATTGGTCGTGGAGGGAGGTACAGAGTAGCCGGGTAATTCTCCACCAACACGCGTGACAACCTTTTGCTTGTCAAAAAGAATGATGAAGCGGCACGGAAAGACGGGGGGTTGAATTGAAGCAACCAAAGAACGACAATTGGCGAACAAGATCGACGATGCGCTGTTTTGCTTAAAATCAACCACCTAAACTACCCTGCCTCGTCCCTCTCCACAAATCGATTGGTTAATATTTCCAGGATTCTAGATCTTGTTCATCCCGCATTTGCTCTCTCGGGCATCTGGGGATCCAACGCTTGCAAGAGGCTTACGAAACGAACAGCAGATACCGTCCTCCTCAGCGCGAGCAGCTAACTACTTTCATCTCAGACTACAGCACGATATTCATATTCATCTGTCGGTCAGATGTGACTCTTGTGCCTCTTATGTTTGGTCAGATGTGATGAGGGCAGCGGTGAGTTCACGGGCATACTTTAGCGAAAGTGATAGCGAACGTGCACAGTCGCCAAGAGACTCACCATCATACCGCATTTACCGGGACAGTGTTCATTTGTGGTAACCCTTTGCAGGCTATTGGTCCGACCTCTGATATTCAATATTGCTCTTGTAGGATAGAAGCAGTAGTGTGTTTCATGTGGCGTTGACAATAGGAAATAGCTTGCTATCAACCGTGGACTTTCTGGCGTGTTCCTGTAATAAGAGAATGAGCCAGGCATCAAGGTAAAATATCCCCTTGGTAAAGGTATTAAAGCCGGCTGGTTCCTCCCTGCTCAACTCTCAGACAACAAGCAGCAAATATCTTCTTAGTCTGCTCTTTACCAGACTCCCTTTTACTCTCACAATCCATCATCCACCGGGCTGCATCCATCAAATACATCAGTCTCAAGCAGACGACACTATCAAACGATGGTTTGGTCTCGCTGGAACTCCAGTAAGGAGGTTCACCAATCGTTGACGAATACAGCTAACAGTTCGTAGTTTTCGGGGTTTATCCTGAGCCCCAGCCCGAGCCCGAGGCCACGCATATGTCATGCTTGGGTATCACTATCACTATGATCGTCCTCCTGGCGATTTTGCTCCGCGCAGAACGCAAGACTCAGGGTCGTTGGGTAATGCTTAATCTCCAAGATATCCTTGGATGTGCTTTATGGACACTCCTGATCAACGCCTTCTGGGTATATATCTCCTCACGTCCTTAATCCGCAATCTGCCTTGAGGACCCGATATCGTCGTATCTGGAGGATGGGGGACTACATCAATGCATGCCTTGAACTTTGGGGTAATCGCGATGGGGGCTGAAGGAAGAATGGCACGCCTCTCAGGCGACATGAGATCTAGAAGCACATGTCCGCAAGGATGAGGACAAGGATCGGTAGTCAGGATTGATGTCTGGGGACGACGAAGTACAACGAGGAGCTTAGATACCTCAATCAACGTACATGAGAGCTCAATGTGGACTGTCTATGAAATTCAAGTGTTCAAGATATATATGTCTGACGTTGCTTTGAGACCAGCAACGTTAAGACGCTAGTAGCTGCTTTTCGTATTGCTATCAGATATGTCATAAACTTTGCGTCAGAATCCGCAATTCAACTCACATTTTCTGCTCATTAACGCGATATTACGTCTTATAGTGGTGCTCTTCATGTGAGTATCTGTTGCTTGAACGTAGTGGAGTCCATTCGCTGGAGATCCAAAATGAGGTCGTGAACAATTGCCACGTGACGAGATCTGATTTAGGTGTAATTCAACAAAGGAGCGTTTTTGAGGACTGAGCGTTTCCCTTTGGAGAAGACAAGTGAAGCGAGCGCACGATACGTTAGTTGAATCCATCTGAGGACGAAGCTGCATCTCTTGAGTATTGTTCCTGGGTCAGAGCAATAAGCTACATCAGAGATACTTTCTTATCCACACTATCGCAGCGGAAAAGCAAGTACCGCTGAGAATGCAGCTACCTAGCAGGCTGTAACTTTGGCTCTTTGAGGCTTGGTTAGCAGCCACACAATTCTGGAGTAAGCGCCAGCGGCTTTGCTGGGAAGGCTTTGAATGGCCTTGAGGACATTTCGCCTGTTTAAAAGGCATCTAACTAATCAGGCAGAGATCAACTTGCAGAGAATCACCAAAGCCAAGATTCGCGCTGATCAGAAACAAGTGGAGTCGGGTGAAATGGCTTTACTGTTATATACAAGGGGAGGCAAGCAAGACTGCTGTTTGCAGGAATACAGGGGCATCCCTTTCAACAGCAGTATTTCATCAACTTGACAGTAGAGAATAAATACCTACTTCTGACAGGAATACAAGCCAACAGCATCTTACATTTCACAATCTGCATCTCCGCCTGAGGGTATTTGCTCCGTAGGCATGTACTGCCTGACCGCTAGAGCGGGTGTCTGCTTGTCGACACGTCGTTTGATGGCGTTACCTAGTACTTCCACTATCAATGCAACTACCCAACCGATGTGGATCAGGCAAACAGGCCAAGAATAGGAGCTTGTTTCTTCAGAGTTTTCTTGCCATGTTTCTTTCTCCCTCCTTCATCATCGCGTTGCTTGTTATCTCTCTTTCGCCCTTCTCCGTCATCAATCCACATCGCTTTCCCAACAAGAACCTCGCAATGGCTCGTCTAAATGACACCAGCAACAACGGCAATGCCGATAACGGTGAGTTTCCCTTGTCTTCCCATGTCTCGTCATGACTGACACCCAAAGGAGTCTCCAACGATGCCCCTCGTTTTGAGGAGAGTATCGCAGGAGAGAGCGGAGAGGCATTGAACGCAGGCGGATTAAGTAAGAATACCTTTAGATAATCTGAACGCATTTCTGATACTTAAAGCTGCACCTGTTACCACGACGGCAACCGAGACCTCAAGCCCCGAACCTCGCTGGGAAGTTGACAGGATCGTCGACCACGTCGTTGACCGCGACAATTACAAAGTATTTTTCATCATCCTGTGGGCGAGCGGAGAAGCGACTGCCGAGCCGGAGGAGCAAATGCAACTCGACATTCCAGATCTAGTATATGCGTACTGGACATCGCGACGTGGACGAAACTTATCCACGGGACTCGCTGAATACCTCGTATTCGATATTCTCGGACACGAATATATCTTGGGTCAGCTCTACTACAAAGTGCAGTGGGTTGGCTTCGATGCGAACGACACGAGTTTGGAGAGAGAGCCAAAGGTCAGGGAGCATGCGCCGCGAACCATGGAGGCTTATAACCGCCGCGTTTTCCAGCAGGGGTGAGTGCGCTCGCCGATATTGGTACCATGAGCAAGGACTGTTGCGATTGGACATGAGCCATCTTGGATACTATTCCTTATTGCGACTTGCAGGCTGAATGGGCTGGAGCTGCTTTGGATAGGTGAATGAAGCGATGATCTAGGTAGTAATGGATGTTGATAATAGATGGCTTCCTTTCACCTCCTCTCTGATGCAACGCTACCTCGCTTAGACAATCCATAACCATGATACATGATATGTCTATGTCTGGATACAAGCGAATATTCATCTGCAGCCATAGTCTTGATACAATGATCTCCAGATCGTCCGCATAGTACTCGGCACCTCAAAGGGCTCAGATATACCTTCACACCCTGGATCATCTGGTCGTATCGGGCTGCATTCTCAACGAGATTCGGCGAATGACTATGCACTCTCTTTATAATTCTGGAAGTCCCGACAACCTCATGACACAGAAAGCTCAACTTGCGCTTACAGTACAATATCATTGCGCCTTCAGTGCTGCCCATACAGCTCAAAGATCCACATTGCCCTCAAAGTGTGAGCCTTCATGAGGATCATGAGAAAGGGAACCACGCAGAACTAGGCCGTTGTCATCGCGCTGCAATTGAGCCGACGGGAGAAGGCTACAGACTTCACGAATAACAGCAACAAGGAAAGCGCTGAGATCTTGAGAAAGAGTCCGAGTCTCATGTTTTGGACTTCAGGTTCTTTCAACGATAGAAGCCCTCCTGGAGTTGAAGTTTCCATTCACTTCCTACAACAGCCCAGCTCGGTTCCCATCCTGCGGCCTGCATTTAGACCAGTGTTGCTGACGTTGGTCAGGACCGAGTCAGTTCCTTGAGTCGTCCACCATGTTGAAGCAGTGCCCAATCGTTGAACTGCCCTTGCGACGAGCGCAAGCCACGTTTCTAGAAAAGCCAAAGAATCATGGTCATGAACCCTTTGCGGACCGGGTCTTCGGAAATGGCGGTTTGACTCCCCAACTCCAAGACTCTTCGCAATTCTCAGTCATGACATACCAACCCTCTGATCAATTGATTTATTGGTTTGATTTATAAGGAACGCTGGCTGACGTTTCAATAATACTTTTGTGGAATTTATCCGCCATGGAACGATCTTTGTTGCCCTTTGGGGTAACACAGTTGTGAGACATTCCTCAACCGATTCAGCTGGAAACCCTTGCCCATTCTGGCCCCCCAAACTCTTGGGACTTGTCATTGTTTGAGACACATAAACCTCCACTCTTTAGGCTGCCTAATTTTGGGCTCCTCTATCTTTAGAATGATAGACCTTTACCCTCCTGGGTTACCCATTTCTGGGTTTTATGCCACGAGGCTTCATCCTCCGCCCTCAGGGTGACAGTCTCCATTCATTGAGCTCACCATTCTTGCGGTCCTCAATCTTGAGGCTTTTACTTCATCGTGGCTCTTAGTAGCTTAAGTTACGGGATCTCTATTCTTATGACCCTCGTATTGCATGGATTTAAGAATAGCGTCTTGCTGAGGACCAGCAGACCGCGCGGCTGGTGCTGTTGTATACACCGTTATCTCATACATGTTTTGCTCTAGAACCCCGCAGGAATTAATAACTCTTGACCGCAAATTTGCGTCTGTATAAAGCGACAAGTCAATTACAGCCTGCACCCAACAACCAGGTGTTCCACTGTGACCATCAAGTGAACTATTTAGATCCTAGAGCACGGACTCTCCGGCTGCTGGGCTGTATGTGAACACAAAGCCTTGTGGGTATGTGGCTGCAGTAGAAGCATCCCGGATCAGCTACTACACTGGGGTTCTGCCACTGCTAGCTGCATGTACATGATCTACCGTAATGCGAACTGGACTCTCAGTTTCAGCTTTTTTCTTCAACATCAGGAGAACTTGCTCAAAGAAGGAATCGTTGTCGGATGGGTTACAGAAAAATGCAAGCAGCAGTTGAGCTGTTATGTTCCAGCCTGATCAGATGTTCGAAAATAACGCTCTGCTCTGAAGGAGTCTCTACGTGGTGGAACCACGACTGGGGGTCTTACCCCCTTGTTTGCCGTTAATCAGGTGCGCATTCTAGAAACATGTTGGAGAAATGCGACCGGCCAATGGCAAGCAACGTTGCAGCTCAGCAACGAGACTAATGGTTCAGGGACTATATCGCTTCTTTGTATCAGACATCACTCCTCCATGGCCCTACTTCGTGGCGGCATTCGGACACTCCGATCTTCCCTGCAATAGTGGGGAATTGAGGGAAACATGAAGACGGCAAGCGTTGCAGTTGAGTCTTGAGGCTGATTCCTTTGTCTTTCCTTTATTTTTATTTGGCACCAGTGCAGGATGATGAGGAATCTTCAGGGATTACAGCAAACCCTTTTTGAATATCCTTATTTATCCTTGTTCTACCCTTGTATCATCCAGAATATCGTAATATGGAGGAAAGTACAGAGATAGCATGGAGAATGATAGAAGATTCTCTTCCTTATATAGCCTTGACGTTTCGCCTGATACAGAACTTCTGATTCTGCCATCAATTACTCCCAATTCACCTCCTTTCGCCCGACCCTAAATCTTCTGAATTGTTCCTCTATTTCAAATCCTACCACTCCCACACAGCATCATGTGTTACCACAAGCCCAAAACTCTTTGCGGATATGATCGCAACTTCTACTACGACCCGAAGAATCAACACCGGCCTTTTCACCTCTGCGACCAGACAAAGCAAGATATTCTCAAGCTTGCAAAGAAGAACCCGTTGATGAAAAAGGAAGACATGGCCAAAGCATGCGGCTACAATTTCAATGACCACTTCTTGACTGACAAATTCGATAAGGCGCAGAAAAAGTTCCTCAACGACCATTCCGCTTAGGACTGAAAATACCACACCAGTATGTTTTTCCAGTATAACAAACGTTTCAGTTCATATAATACTAACAAGTCTGAGAGAAGCAGAGCAACATTGGTACATCTGTGATGAGGATAACTCTGCTTAGAGTTGATACGAGACCCAGCAACAAGATCGAATTAGATCGGGATTTTCCTTCGTTAATAGATGGAACTCAGAAGTGGGCTGGAGTCTTTTTTATGTACCGAAAACCGAGATCGACATCAAGTTTCTTTGCGTATTAGATGGTTGGAGTTTTTGAGTTTAATAATACTGGCCAGTATTGACAACACCTTGCTTCTGCCTCATTCCACTCAAGTGCATCACACGCTCTACGACATGCTTTGCCCCCATCCCTTCAAGTACATCTCTCGGAACTATCCTGCGCATTCCATGTCTCAACCAACCGACTGGTGCACCTTCTTCATCAACCACTGTAAAGCATTGATGAAGACGGAGCATTATTGCTTTGCAAATACGAGCCACCGTCGCCCATTATTAGGACAGCGGCCTGAAGACCCGTGAATGCTTCAACGGAGTACGAAAGACACATAAAAGAGGCTTTCTTAGCGTATTTGTCGAGAACCCTCTTACGAGACTTTGAGAGTCCACCGACTGCAGCACTCGGTAGCCCATATCGAGCCCCTTGGCTTCCAAATGCCTCATGATCAAAGCGAAATGAAGTGAGAAAACTCCAGCATTCACGCGCTTGACTTGATGGGGAAACCATCGGTTGAGAGTTTTGACTATAATCCTCTCTATCATTCGCTGGGGCGATAACGCCGATGTTGGTTGTGTTTCTGGGAAACTGCTCTGAGCATGTGCTGCGTTTGTCTATAGGCACAGAGGTACAATTGAAGACGGAGTTGAAAGGGAACGTTCTGTATGGATGGTAGATGCCCGCGTTGGAGAAGGCCTAGATTTTGCGCGCCTTGATGTCGAGTTTGTGTTGCACGTATCTCAACGACTATGGACGCCTTTCTTATCCTTCTGGTCACCTTTAACATTCTACATCACATTAGAATTCACAATATCTGACAATTAAACCTCAGTTCAGGCCATCATCACAGCGTGAAGATCCATGGCACTATGAAATCTACCAGGAACAATATGTCTCTGGTGGAAATTGTCTAACCCAAATCTCGTAAGCTGGCTGCAGTTGCGAGCTCTAGCGTGCCTGAAACCTCCCTTGACCTTCGTGGTCCTTGCGGAGAGCATCAGTAAACTTTCTCACAGCCAAAGGGGCATTCTTGTAAATCTTCTCCCTCGGTTCCCACGTAGCGTCATTCTCGCGATGCCCAACCCATTGGGTAAGAAAGAAGACCTTGGCGCCCGGCCTCTGCTGAGAGCGAAGAATCTTGAAGATGTAGTGCTGCTTGAATCCGGTGGCTTTGTCGCGACCGCCTTCTTGAGCGTCCCAATAGTCATAGAGAAGATCAGGACAGTCCTGCTGAAGGCGCAACTCTGGCTCCTCGGTGGTTGCGCCGCCCTCCCACTCGACGATAAGCCCGACGGTCTGATCCTCGCGATACAGCTTGTGCGTATGATCCGGTTGATCTCGTAGAATGGCTCGGGTTGGCTTGAGGCGGTGGGCTGCGAGGCTGCCGGCTGTGCGACGGCTATTGCATGTCGGTCAGTCAGTCTCTGCCAGTTGAGGGGGTGGATGTGCTCACTGCTCGCTCGAGATGAGGAAGCTCCTCCTGCAGCAGGAGCAGAAGCGCTGGGGGCCTCTACTCGGATAATGTCAGGATAGATGACGGCAAAGGTGATATCGGACCTACCGTTCTGCTTGGGTACGTTCATATCGGAAAGCTTTGCCATAGTGACTGGTGAACGAAACTGAGACTTGAGAGATGGAGAGATTGAAAGGTAGAAAGGGAATGTTGAGGGGAAAGGTTGAGAGGGAGAGAGGAGCTGGGTTTAAGTAGTCGTGGGTGGGACAAACGATGAGCTCCTGACTGAGATCTATAAGATTTATCGCAAACGCATTCACGGCGCGCAAACAGAGAGATATCAACAGCGGGTTTGGTGTTTAGCCGCCTAATTGCGTTTGTGTTGTCTATTGTTTCGAATATGTCGCCAAATGGAACATGTTTACGGCCGCTGTTGCGAAATCATCGAAATTTGTTACGGTCGGCGTCGGTGAGACCGTGCATCGTGGTTTAGACTCAAGTGAGCTGTTATGTCAGGTACTGCAAGTCGCATTACCAAATAGGCAAGATTCCAATCTTGAACAAAGATGCCTGCCCCAGAGCCAAACCCGCTAGACAAGCAACATACTGATGTAATGATTCAGGGAAGTTATCGATGGAAAGCATTGAACTTACAGGGCTTTTAGTGGGAGCGTGCACCACGATGTTCGCCGCGAGAACATGTTGTTTTCCAAGGAGGCTGGAGGCGTTATGGTTATTGACTTTGAGAGAGCCGAGTTGAATGAGATGCCGACGGTCAGTCTGAAGCAAGACAAAGAGAGAAAACGGAGCGGAAGAGACGACATGGATTCCAGGATGATATTACCGATGTGCGAATGGCCTTTTGGGAGGTCTGTTAATCTGCTCAGTGTTTGGAAATTCAAGTCGATGGTTATACACTACAGTGAGCCCTGTCGTCTCGGATCTTTAACCACACTTTTCTGTACTGTATCCATCGTATACATCCATACAATGCGCAAGAAGATGGCCGATAAATGACATTGCATTCTTTCGAGGCCGCTCCTGGGAAGTAAGTTACTTTCAAGCAACTGGAAGATCAACCTACAGGAAGACTATTGTCCAAACAAGCCTGGAGTCTAGCTGCATTAGTGGTCTTATGATGCTGATGAGCACCAACCACCAAAGATCCCCTTGTGTTCATCAACACCGTCGATGTCGTCATGGCTGCTGTTGTTCATGTCGTTCATCACTATCCCCTTTGTCATTCAAGAAGGCCCCCGAAAGCTGGTCCAACAACAGCGTTTTTCAGGATTCGGTCTAGGACGAAGCTGTGCCTGGTAAATCTGTGCTGCTTGGTGATGCTGCCCTCATGCGTCCACAACGGCCTTGGACAGGGCGGCAAAGCTGATCTCGATGGGAAAGTTGGCGGATTTCTCGGGCAATGCGAAATCTCGGAGGTTAAGCACAGCGACTGGTCGGCATTGCTCCATGGGGAACCGTGTTGAATACCTACCATGCACCAGTCAGCACCAATACCACGCTGTTTTGTCTGATCAAGATACTTACTATGGGGTCGATGATGTGGTGAACTTGTGGGTTAGATCTGTTCGATTTCACGTCTGAGCCCTCTTAAACTCTTTGGCGAGCTTGCAGTGCTCGGAGGATTCCATCTTGATGGCGATGATACCCCGAACTGGGTCGTAGTCGAAACGTCAGAAAAGCTGCTGCAACAGAGAGCGATTCTTGTCAAAAGCATTAGGAGCAAGACGAAACTTGACGAACTCGGGGATGTTTTCGCCCGCCGGCCAGCGCTGGTGATAGCGGAGGATCCGTCGAGGAATCTTTTCGTTTGGGAGAGATTGCGAGGTTGAAGTTGTCGTATGCTCGGCGGCTGGAGCACCAACAGTGCCTGGAGAACGGTTCTCTTCCTTGTCGGCCATTGTTGTCGTGGTGTGCAACTGATGGCAACTATTACCGAGAGGAACAGGCCTGGTCTTTCGGTTCACGGTTGAATCGACTTTTCTCTGTGGGTAGGAGATGCAAGGTCTGCGTGCTGATGAGAACGTTGGTCGTAGACGCGTGTGCTTGAGAGGGAGTGTTACTGAAGGAGAAGAAAAGTGGAACACACCACTGCAAAAGAAAACGGCTGAACGAGTGAAAAGCTGTTGGAGATTGTTTATAATTCACTGAGGCGTTGGCGCAACCCTGGGAGATTTCTTAGGGTAGTCCACCACCATGGATGAACATGCCTCTCGCTCTCTCGGGCTTTTGGATATGTCTCGATGTTGTGCAAGGTTGTATGCGGAGTTGGATGTAACTCAACGTTGAAGAAGTCATGAAGGGTCTTCGAGTCCTCGTCCTCCGGCTCGATCTCGTACTGCTTCATGTACGAGAGATCGGTTTCATGGTACCCTTCATCATTATACTGGTAGGCCACGGAAGGAAGGGTGTCGGGAACAGGAACACCCTCTTCGAGAAGTTAGTCCAAATGTGTATAGCAGGTGTGGGAAAGCTTGACTTACAGAGATGGGGAACTTGGTAAAGAATTCTTCATTGGTACGCTTTAAGCGCGCGGGGTAATTCTGTCGCCAGAGCTCTTGGGGATCTTCCTCCTCCTTGGCGGCTTTGTCGTCCTTCTTCTCGTCGACGAGCTTCTTTTCGGTGGCGCACTTGGCTTCGTCAACGCGCTGCGACGAACCCTTGGTGGGAGAGCGGTTAGCTTCCTGGGCCTTTGGCTTGTTCTCGGCGACTCGGGACGTAGTCTTCTCGGTGGGAACAGGATGTTCTTTCGGCGTGTTGGGTCTCTTGGCAGAGTCGGTAGTCATGTTGTTCATTCCTGCAGGCTCGAGTGATGTTAGTATCCTGCGGGTTGGATGAAATCATGGCCAAGGCTGGTTATGCCTGACGCCGCTTATTCTTCTGATGAGAGAGGTTTGCGGACATTTATGTCACAACATACCAGCGTACGGGATGAATGGAGTCTTGTGTCAGGTAAGGGAAATCGGGGTGATGGAGGTTGATGAAAAGGAAAGGAAGATGGGTTTTGTGGGGAGGAGAAAGACAGGAGAGGAGAAACAGTCAATACCAAGCTGCCACTATGGATTGGTGGGGGCAGCAGCACCAGTGATGCAGGGGTAGAAGAGTCACAGTAACGAGACGGAACAGCAGTGGGCGTGAGGATTAATTAATGCCCTGTTCGTGGCGGAGAGACTTGATCGAATTCTTTGTTCTTTCACCACTGGCGCTTAACCATGAATATCTGACTTGTACAGGGCGTCGAAGCTTTTAATACTGATCCTGTTCCGATACAGATGCTCCCACTGCATCTTTGTTCTAGCTTGCTGCACAAGTCGACTGGATCTAGCCGTGATGGAAATGGCGCCCGGTTGTTCACAATGAGTTACAAGTTGGAGATAAATACATAAATGGTACGGGTAGTTGACCCTTGATTGCTGTCCCATGAGTTAACAATTCACTGTTTCAAAGTTCACTTAATAGCGTGCCATTGGCGGTTGACCATTTATAATAATGAATGTATGTTCATGTTCTTCATTTTGCCTGCGCCAGGTGTGCAATACTCATTGCACCAGAAACCAGCCAGTGGCTCTTAATAGTGCTGAGTGAATGTCCCATTTGTTGTGCTGCTGAGCAGTGCTGGTCACCTGGTGCGGTTTCAGAGCCCCTTCTTCTCCCACCTCGCCCTCCACTTTGACCTTCTTCCATCACTGCAGCTCTCTCGCCACACCCTTCTTTTCTTCCTTCTGCACCAGAGCAGAGAGAAAACAGAACCCCGTCCATGTCGCTTCTTTCATCTTCACGTACTGCTCGTTCATGTCTTTCTGGTAGATAAAGATGTCTTCATCCCCGGATTGAAACGTACACTGCACTGCGCTCTCTGCCTCCCCGCGGACAAGACAGTCCCGTGAGCTTATCTACGCAGTTATCTGGAAGCAAAGTGAGACGTGTAGTGCGGTAGCAGGCCAGCTATCCTTTTTCCGCCCCGGCGTCAAACAACTTGTACTAACGACAATACTAAGATCGCAAGGCAAACGACTGTTTCTACCCACGCCACCCATTCAAACACCGTCACCACCAAAACCATCATCGCAACAATGGCCGACAAACGCGGTAGCTCTGCTGCGCCTGAGATGAACGGCAGCCCCCATGCTTCCGCCTTGATCCCTTGCATCCCTGACAACATTCTCGAGTGCCATCAGCGATTGGAATCTGGTATCGCAGGCCCCTATTTTGTGTCGCTCCCACTGGAACCGCATCTTTTGGAGAGTATCTGCCCACAGCTCGATCAACTCTTCCGCCGCTATGATTACGACGCTGATGCCGGCGTCATGACCATCAGAATGCCATCCAAGTTTCACGACGACTTTGCTACCGAGTTTGGACTCGTGGTTCAACAACTGATCGATGGCATCCTGCTCACGGTACCCAATGCGCCCAGAATCACGAACCGCCAAAGCCGACTAGTGAAGCTCTGGGAGCACAACAAGGGCAAGCAAGGTCGAAGGTGTTTCCCTGATGGACAGTTCAAAGACGATCGTGCCGGCAAACCGGGTCTTATTTTCGAAGTCGGCTATTCTCAAACCGGAGATAGCGTTGAGAAGGTTGCTAAAGATTACATCGTCGGGACGAAGGGTGCTGTCACTACTGTAGTCTGCTTCGACCTCAAGTACAACCAGGGTCATTCATTTGTGTCCATCTGGCGAGCGAGATAGGATCTCGCATTGGAGACGGTTGAAGCAGTTTGTGACCTGGAACCCACGGCAGGTCTCCCCTCACATTGCAGGTCAAAAGCTAACTCACTTTTGACAGATGTTTCAAGATTCGAACGATCGAATGGTCAACGGCGACAAACTTCTCAAACTCCGACTCACCGACATGGCCAAGAAGAAATATTCGGATGATTACCCGCTCGCGCCAATTCACATTCCATTCAGCCAACTCAGCCGAATTCTCGATTTCGCAAAGCTCCAGTCCGAAAAAAGCTCCCCATAGACATTTCTACTACAACAGAACCTGAAGAGCATTTACAGTTCACGTCCTGCGGGGTAGATCGGATTGGGGTGTCAAGAAAGGAGAATGGAGTGGAGAGAGCATGGAAGAACAGAAAGGCATCTTGTTCAATCGCTGTTTTGGCCATCGGAATACGGTTAAGAAAGATTCTATGAAACGAAGTCACGCCTCTAGATGTTGGACTTGTTGACGAGACCTGTGAGCCAGGACTGACTAAATCAACTGAGAAAAGTCCCCCCTCACGCTTGGGTATTTTTCTTGCTGTTCCTGCCGTGACGACCATTAAGCTCTGAACGAGCAATCAAGTAATGCTGTTGCCAAGTCCATTGACAAGTTCAGTAATGGCCGCCACTGGCTGCCTTCCTGGCCCAAGCCAAGCAGTGATGAGCCCGAATTCTACCATCGACCCATTGCCGAAAAACCAGATGTGAGACAACTCTTTAGGACAGGGCACACATATCGCAGGCCACTGATTGTGTCTTTACTGATTACTTCTGATCATAGCCAACACGGCTCAAAGTCTTGGTACCTCGGTACCTTGGGTCTTGGGCCATTGGCCTTGGACTCAACGATGCTCTTAAGCACAATACGTCAGACTCGGACAGCATTTCTACACCAGAGGCTGAGGGCGCCATATTGGCTATAAAGATGACCCTGACGGCTGAATACTCCCTGTCGCCAACGCCGTCCTGAACCCTGTCATCAACGCAGTCGCCGAATTCAGATGCTATCATGCGCGCTTCCCGCATGGACTTACTACAATTTCTGCTCATGTCAGCCCCCACATGCAGCCAGGATATTTGGGCATTACCACCAAGTTCAAAGAAAAGCTTTGCCACCTTTCGGCTTTCCTGTGCTCCCAGAGGTGAAGAAGCAAGTCGCAATACCATCACGGCGAGATGGCGCCAGAGGACCCGGCTGCTGTTACTGAGCAATCTACTCAAAGGCATCAATACAGGCAATAGAGGGGTTGAACTTGCGCAACATCTGAGGCCCAAGGTTTGTGAAGTACACCTTGGGCCAGATCTGAAGGAAGATGGCGTCGGTCCTCGAAGCGGAACTCTTCCGACTGTCTATCTTGCCGTTCGCAAGGCGGCTGGTGCTTTTGCTCCCTTGAATCCTGGCCTTATCCAAGCATCAGATTTCCTCTGTTCTGGCGACGCTCCTTCCGAGCATTGTTATCTCATCCCCCCCGAACGTCAACTAGTTTTTCGGACTGGCAGAACACGTGCTCAATGTCTCTAACATTATCAAAAAGCGTGCTACTCATTGAGGGTCCTACAGTTCCGCGTGAGTACTTCAATGACCCCATCCGCAGTAATAAGCCTTCCTAGACGAAGCCCCCTCTTGCTGGTGGATGCCGTCGCTTCATCGTGTATACCGCACCGGTGACCTCCAGCTTCTTGACCTCCAACAGATCTCGGGTATCATAACCAGACTTCAACAGAAGCTTGCCCAGCAAGTTACCAGCTATATGGTATCTCGGATGTGGCTGCCAGTTGTAGCTCTACCTTCAACAACATCCTGCAAGACTGACCGACGCCGGGTTTCGAGGTGGGTTGACCAGTTCAGCTCAGCGACCTTGGAAAACATCCCCAACCTCTCAACCACTCATTCTGCCCTCCTTCTACAGACGGAGGCCCAATGCATATGATCAGACGCTCGGTGTTACTGTCGATAATGTTCCAGATGATCGGTCTTTCCTTAGTTTGGGTGGCGACTCGATCATTGCTATGCTGGCCGTGAACCTGTGCCGTGCCAAAGGCATTGAGTTCTCCATCAGTGGAATTCTCCCGGTTGCACCATCAACGAGATGGCCAACAGCATATCATCTCAGATGCGCATTCCAATTCCACCTTACTGGTCCACCTCAGTCTTGCCCAGAGCCTTGCCCTTGGGACGGACTAAAAGCTGCAATCCTGCCTACCTGGCCAATCTCGTACTGCTCATCTGCAACTAACCAGTTCTATCGACTAACAAGCCATCGAAGATACTGTCAGGAATTTGGTTCACCTTCACTCGACCCTTCGGACTACATGCGTCAATGAGGAGAATATATGGTTCCAACACGTGAGTGCCGTCTAGGCAGTGATTCAGGGATCCTCAGTTCCCCTCACAACGTATGGCAAGATCGACCACTGTCAGATGACAACGTGGCTGGAGCAAGCTGATGAGTATCTGGTGAAGGAGATTCTGGCTCTTGGTCAAGAGGAACCCGTCTCGGATAATTGCCTGACTCCAACACAGATCGCTATTCGATCCGCCTAGGCCCTGATTCTTAACCTCAAACCCCGGAAGATCAACCGGGAGCATCTGTTCTTTAGGCTTGGCGGTGACTTGATTATCGCCGTGTAAGTCGTATCTCATTGCCGAAGTTAGGACATTAAGCTAACCCCGAAGGATATCTTTCAACACCAGATAATCGCAGCCCTTTCGGTATCTGTCGACTATGCTGCAGCAGGAGCCGTCTCTCCAAGCTCCATAAACAATAGGTCGGACCTTTCGGAGCAGGTTCTATCCCTAATGCAGAAGATGTACTTTGACCTGTATCCTGATGGGGCCAATCACTTCAACCAGAGTTTCTTGGTACAGACCCCATCCACGAAAAGGGTCGCTTTGCCTACCCTATACGCTGCAGTTTAGTAGCTTGCCAGTCGTCAGTCAATGCTGCGGGCTAGGTACACCAATTCTCAAGGTGGTTGGATCAAGCGCGCACGTATGATGTGGCTGGATCTCTGGACTCCCGTGAGCACACAAACGTTGCCGACAACCAAGGCGCTTCCAGAACCCTGCAATAAACCTATGCAAACGGACCCTCAGAATTTATTCCTCACTGCAGCGTTCGAAAACCTTTCCCAACAGTCGACCAGGCGACTGCGGTCCCGATTTAGTTATCATCTCCGAGATAGTGACACTGATCTTGAATGTTCGCACTTGAATGACTCAAAAACCTCTCTGATCCTCATTCGTCAAAACATGCTACCCGATCCCGCAACTGTTTGGGTTTTGCTAAAGCTCAATTACCTGTAAGTAGATAATCTTTCTCGGCTGGTGATATCAATAGACTTTTAGCACTATCAGCTGCCAGCCTATGCAAATACTGAGTGCTAGGTTCGATAGCATGTTTGAATAAACTCCTCCTTGTGTAGCCGGCAAGAAACCTCGGCAACGAACGGAAACAGCGCGATCTCGCATGACTTAATGGGCTAGCGAGGTCACGTGGAACTACCGAACTAATGCAGAGATCCGCCTCAGTGCAATTGGGATAGCTTATCTCCCCGAAATGCAAATGGCAATCGGAAACCTCTTAAGTCCGTAACCTTTGTTACAGCGGAAAGAAAGCTGGGCCGATTACCAAATGGAGTTGCAGCAATAGCCAAAAGCCCTAAGCTAAAATCCTAATTACCATAAAAACCTTGATGGTCGCCTAAGGTCAAAGGACGTGGTACCCCTCTCCCGACGTTTGCGCCGTCCTTTTTCTATTATAAAATCATAGATATTCCACTATTCAAAAATGTCAAACGACTACGAATTCCAGGGCTGGTTAGGTCCATCACATGATGCAATCAGTAAAATGCAATGGGGGACCTTTGAGCCTAAGAAGTGGGAGGAAGATGATGTTGATGTCAAAATCACTCACTGCAGTATCTGCGGTGCAGATTGTCATATGCTTCGCTCCGGGTGGGGACAGACATCTTATCGTGAGATTCCTTCATTCTCCTTATAACTGTTTCTTCTTTTCTTTTCTTTTTCTTTCTTTCCCCCTTTTTCTCTTTCTCCTTAACAGGGACTAATATTACCAGCTTGCTGCGTTGGGCATGAGATTGTCGGAAAGGTTGTCCGTGTTGGAAACAATGTCAAGCACCTAAAGCTTGGCGACCGTGTCGGTGTTGGCGCTCAGGCCCGGAGTTGCCTCAGCGATGATTGCATCCACTGCTCTGCTGGTCGGCCCAATTATTGTCCTAAGAATATTAACACCTATGGTGGAACATACCCTAACGATATAGGTAAATCCTACGGAGGCTTCGGCGACTATAACCGCACCGATTCTCGCTTTGTGGTAAAAATCCCTGAAAAGCTACGTTCAGAGTATGCTGCACCTTTGATGTGTGCCGGTATTACCGTTTATTCGCCGCTGAGAAAGCACAACTGCGGGCCTAGCAAGACTGTTGGCGTGATAGGCGTCGGTGGGTTAGGTCATTTTGCCATTCTGTTCGCGAAAGCGCTCAATGCACATAAGGTCGTTGGTATCTCGCGCAAGAATTCCAAGAGAGACGACGTTCTGGCCTTGGGTGCCGATGACTACATCGCCACTGATGATGGAGACCGGGATTGGGCCACGATTCATGCCGATTCGTTGGACCTTATTATTTGTACGGTCTCGAGCGCCAACATGCCTCTCAATGAGTATTTGAAGCTCCTACGATACGGTGGTGACTTTGTCCAAGTCGGGTCTGCATCTTTCTGCGTCCAACTCCTTTACAACCAGACTAACGCGACAGTTTTAGTGCTCCTGATAATGGCGACTTGCCTAGCATCAATGCTTTTACGCTGATCAATGGTGGCTTCAAATTGAGTGGTAGCGCAATTGGATCCCCTGGGGAGATTGAAGAGATGCTCCACCGGGCCGTCGAGTTTGATATCAAGCCTTGGGTTGAGTTGAGACCACTGACAGACGCAAATCAAGCAATCTTGGATATGGAGGCAGGTAAGGCACGATACCGATACGTCTTAGTAAACGAGAAGCACCTAGATGCTTGAAAATAGGAGACTGCCTCTTGCGGTTAAAAGTTGAGGGATGAATTATTGTTCATAAATTTGTTTGTTATTTCCGTATCGGTGACAACACTCTCCTTTTTCGTTTCGCTAGAATGATGGCCACAAACCAGATGCTACTGCCACATTTTAACTCACATTCACTTTATATTATCCGCTTAACTCTCCTAACGCTGATATTTGTCGCTCCATGAGCATGGACCGAGAACTTCTGATGTGAATATTGATCTGCTCAGAATCAGACAGCGCTACGACGGAGGCTTTACCTTCTGACTCAGATATTTATATGTAGTAATCATTCTTCCAGCAATAAGCTATTAAATAGACTCGTAGCGTACATGATATATGTCGATTCCTTTCGCCAGAGATCCCGTTTGCCCGAGGAATGCCGAAGTATAGGTTCTAGCTTCCAAGTTCAAAAGATATTTCCTTTGGATTGGCCTTCTTCCTGCTGTCGCTTCCTCAAATCGATTTTCTTCCAGGCGAAAATGCAAGCCAACATGAACGGTACTAAGCACGCTCCAATGATGACCATCTTGTGTTGCGCATCTTGAAAAGCTATGATAACGGCATCGCGAATCGGACTTCCTATAGGGTACGATAGCTGCTCCATTATGTCCCCAAAGAGGACGCTGGTCAGGTTTTTACTGTCCTCTGGTAGCGTCTCGTACAATTTAGTTGGTACAATATTGGTCCATAGAGCACCTGCAACTGTGAACCCAAGAGATACACCGATGGAACCAAAAAGGCCGCTCATTGCGAGGGCGATAGCCACTTCCTGATGACGGACTGAAGCCATCAAAGCGAGCTGCGCTGTGAGGCCCCAAATTCCTATTGCGGCCCCAGTAAATATTTGGCACATAACAAGAAAGCCGATGTTGGTATCGGGGCGACGGAAGTGAACTAATAATGCACTTCCCATAGCGGCAAAAGGAACTCCCACCAGGGAAGTCCATTTGTAATCATTGGTATAGCGAATCAGCCTGGTTTAAAATGTTAACCTTGCAGCACGTCAAGCCATTTCATGGTCAATTACTCACAAACCAACAAAAGGTCCCACGAACGAGGAGAAAACGTTGAAAGTTCCTGAGATATAGCCCGCGTCACGAACACTTTGACTATGCACGACCTGCAAATACGATGTGTAGTACGCTTCCCACACGCTGTCATTTTGTCAGTTATCTCGCGTCTGTTCAAGTGGCTTTAGCAGTATTACTCACAATACAGACATGAACATCAGCCCATTCAAAAGACAAGATGCCCATACAGTTCGGTTTTTGAGGAACTGCCAAGGGAAGAACGGAATCTTGGCGAATGACCTTTCCCAATAGATAGAGGCGATAAGTATGAGCACACCAAGCACGATCATTGCGATGATGTAACCTGTGGTCCACCCCCGGGGCGCTGATCGCGCGATACTGAACGGTAAAAGCAGTAAAGACCATCCGGCTGTGACAAGGAAAAGGCCAACAGCTAAGCAGATGGACTTGTTAGTTTTGGTATGGCAAGGAAAAGAAGAAAAAGAAAGAGAAAAAGAGAAAAGGCGGCATGAATACATACTGTCAAATTGCCAAAAATAATACACCATCAATGCCCAGGCACTCCGCTTTGTGGTTTCCTTCTCGATAACACCGAGGCTAATAGCTCTGCGTTGATGGAGGAAGAAGACGGTGAGAATAGGTAATGAAAAGGCGGTCAAGATTATGGAGAATCCACCAAATGCCCAACGGAAGTTAACTTTTTGCAAGAATAACTCAGCAATTTTGGGCCCGGCAAAAGTGCTTATGATCGATGGTGTCGTGTTAATTCCAAACATGATCGTACGGTTCTGCAGCGTTGTCATATCAGCGAGCACAACTGTTATGATGTAGCCGATGCCAATATGGCCTATCCAATACAGTGTGTGCGCTGCAGCATACATCTCCACGCTGTCGCAAGTTGCCTTCATAGTCAGCCCGACAACGCAGAGCACGAGCATGACGGTGTAGCCCTGGCCACGGCCCCATATATCAATGACTTTGGCAATCGTGAGTTGGCAGACGCCGCCGACGATGGACGACACAACGCTTGTGGTGGCAAGCAGGCCATGCTGCGCAAAGGCCGACGTTACGTAGGGAGTAAGCGAAGATTGGATGTGTTGGAGGATCGCATCGATAACATTAATTACGTAGAGTCTGATTGAGAGATTAGGTGGTTTGTAACGGTAGTGAGGGTAAGTAGATTCTGTCACTGACAATACAAAGACGGTCCATAGCATCCTGGTACTCCAAACTGCTGTGATGGCCTCGACCTGTCGAACGCCGGCTTGCGCGAAAGCATTATCGTTTACGTTTGGACGATCATGATATTTCTCGCTATCTCTTTCCATGCTAACCACAGGCACGCGATGACCACCATCGGATATCAATGCTGCTCCCATGGTGATAATGATGCAGAGAAAATGATGACGTGGAAGATTAAATGTAAACTTTTCTTCCCTGCAATCCGCCCCTTTGTGAAGAGGCACCAGACCATTTATATACCCGCACTCTTTTCTCAACTGATTGATAATCGTCACCGCAAGTTTATCTGTCGACCGAATGGTGCTTACAGTACAGCTGACAAGAATGGCACTAACGAGGTTGATTCAAGGGTAACCTTGATCGAACTAAGCTTTGTGGGGAGTGTTGGCCGACCCAGCTCCAAATGAATTACTCAAGAGTAAACAGAATTTAGATTATCTGATGGATTAGATCACAGCTGAGGAACAATACTTCACGTAATGCCAAGATGATGAAGACGCTGGAATCTCGGAAGGAAGGAATTCAGCACTAAGACCCATCCATTCGGAAAGCTCTTCATGTGGGTGGAGTTTTCGAGGGATAAATTGATCCACTCTGGGTTTATGCTGGGAGGACTGAGAGATATAGTGTGAGCGTAGTGAGGATGTGTCATGTCTCTGGAGGGACAAATAATGCTTGGAGGGTTTCTTGTCGTAAAGAGGTTTCATTGATAGCTGGTAAGCTAGATACTATGAAACTACTAGTAAATGCGATCTATGGATGTACTTAGGTGTTGACTGATCTTGCGAGTCTTTTCGTGAGTCTCGGGCTAGGTCTCATGTACGAGCTTGCTTCCGAAAATGGAGTGTTTAGACCCAGGCTTTTACGTCTCGTAAGAACAATTACCCTAATTAGGATTGTTCTTTATTGGGGAACATGACACTTCGATACCTTCAGTCATGTACCCTGCACTCTTACCAGAACGGGCTAGTTTGTCTTTTAGAAAACACATTCGCCGCAGGTGGGGACGCGCGGGTTAACGCGGGGCTGCCGAGCTCACCACGGTCGCCACTATAGTGCAAAACCTTCTTTTCTCCCCGCTAAATCCGACCGACACTCAATCCGCCATGGTCAGAGTCGCTCGCTATAAGAATCTACCCACGTCCCCCCACCATAATGCAAAAGCTTTTTTCTCCCCGCTAAATCCGACTGACATTAATTCCGCCATGGCCAGAGAAGGCAGTCCTGTACCCAAGCGGCGACGCAATCGAGTACCTGTGTCCTGCTGTAGTTGCAGATCGCTGAAAACAAAATGTGACGGCTCTAGGCCCGTATGCTCGACCTGTGTCAACAATGGACGAGAATGTGTCTTCGTCCAGAAGGACACGGAAGCCAACTCTAACGGGAGGTAATCGACCCTCTTTTCCCTTCACAGACCCGGTGAGAAATTGACTGACGAGATTAAGTACCGGAAGTTACCTACGTGGGTTGGAAAATCGCCTCGCTTTACTCGAACAGGCCGCTCTTGCCAATGTGGAGTCTAGAACGAAAGGGAACCAGAAAATCTCTAGCAGGGAGCAGGCTGCTAGTTCCGTTGAGGCTGTACAACCGGAGCCAGCATCATCATCAGTAGCCATCGATGGGAATTTGACGATTGGGGGAACTTCGTTTACCCAGCTTCTCTTGGACAGTGTTTATGGCCATGGTGGTATGAAAGCTCAAAGCGTGGAAACAGATCCTGAATCTCGAATTCGGCCGCTTCAACTCACAGAAGAAGAACTATATGCGACGCCCGACAATGCTGTCGATATCCTGAACCAGTACTTTACCACTCGACATGGGCTCACGCCCGTGTTTCATGCGCCCAGCGCTCTGTCAGCTTTCGTTGAAGCTTTGCGTTGCCCTGCACAAACTCGACGCCGCCAACCGCTCACCTTTGCTATTATCAACATGATCTTTGCTCTTTGCACCTCGCATTGGGTAGTCAATGTCCAAGACAATTACCGCAATGCGCAAAGACACTATGAAATAGCCATGGCTCTGCTGCAACCGACCCTCTTGCGCGAGTGGCGTTTAGAGCATGTACAGGCCTTGCTACTAGGTGCAAGATATCTCCAGACTACCAGCCGTGGAGAAGAATGCTGGAATGTACTCGGTCTCGCTATAAGGACTGCCCAAGGCCTCTGCCTACACAGGGACCCGCCCGAAACTGATACACCTCCCGTGCGAGAAACAAAGCGTCGGGTTTGGTATGCAGCTTATATGCTTGACATGCACTGGAGCATGATTTACCACCGTCCTCCTGCCACTCGAAGCGCCGACTTCTCCGTTTCTATTCCCGAGGATCTAGACGATGAGTATATACGAGATGACGGGGTCTTGTACCCCATGCCTAGCCGACCATCCAACATGTCCTTCTTCATCGAGATGGTCAAGCTATGCAGGATAATGGAGAAAGTCTTGTTACGGTTTGCTGAGGGCATGGAGAAGAAAAGTGATATAGCAGAAAGCATCATGACCCTGGACGAGGATTTCCAGAAATGGCGTTGTCGCCTTCCAGCGCACCTCGCGCTGGATATCCAGAAGCCAAAAGAGCCACAATGGATCCTAGCACTGCGAGCGAACACGGTCCGAATTTTGATACATCGCCTTTCGCTAAGCGATGCCATGCGTGTTTCAGGGGCAGCTCTGCGTAACCAAGGCTCATTAGCCAGCCAGACACTACAACTGAGCCAGCAAACATGTGTTAATACAGCCATGGAATCCGTAGACATTGTCGCGTTGAGATATGAGCAAACGAAGCAATCTCTAGGACTCAACTGGTTTAACATTTACTATTGTAGGCCGTGGCCCCTGTTCAGTTTTTTGTACCTTTTCTATTTTTATTTTTCCAACTATTTGCTAACAAGAAATAACAGTATTCAATGTTACCATTGTCCTGGTGGCTTCTGTTATCCACACAGCAAATCATCAAGGAACTCCTGCGTTAGCCAAGGTGGAACAGGCTCTGGATATGATCAAGGAGATGTCGAGCGATCATGCTTTCGCAAAGCGCGCATCTATCTTCCTTCAAGGCTTACTCCAGTGCATGCATCGATCATTGGAATCGTTGAATTCCCCGCACTCAAGCGCTGATTCAGCTGTGTTTGCTAACAATCATCCACCTTCCTCGACAAGGGCATCCATGCCCATGTCGTTACCGTTGCCGTTAACGACGGAAGCGTTTCCGGGTTTATATACGTTATTTGGATACACCAGTGACATAGCCTCGGATCTGGAGGCACAGCTGAACAGCTTCGAATCCGGAACCCTTCCGGAATCAGGGTGGGCGTTAGGCGATCTTGTCTAACGTCTGATACGGGGAAACCGGCCACCCCCAGAAACCGGCCACCCCCAGAAACCGGCCACCCTCAGCAAAACACCAAGATTGAGATCGCGATTGTAACTCAATTAAAAACACACCACCACATTTTTTATTTTAAATAAAATTTCTATCAGTGAATATTTAGATGGAACTGAGTGCAAAGATCTTCGAGTTTTAATTTTTTAATGCGATGTGATGTTCTTTCTGGCTGTAATACTTTTCGCATCTGTTCACGAGCTTTCAAAATCGCCGGAACCTTCGCGAACTCGGCATTTCCGTTATATATGACTTTCTTCCTCTTTTTCGGCAGATATTCCTCCTTTTCTAATTGCATTATCGTGATTTCTCTTCTTTGGCGTTCAATCTCGAAGTTATGACTGTCTAATTGACTGCCAATCTTACGGAAAAGCAGCCTGACAGCAGGGTCTTCAGAGACAACGCCTGGGACAGCTTGGAGGGCCCGGCGAAGCTGTACAGATGATCGGGGCGTCATTAGAAGACGGGAATTCTTTCCTTTTGCCGGGGAAATAGCTGTGACAACGGGAGCTGGTGTCTCAGGAGTCTGAGTGACCATTGGGTTCATCAGGACCTTCGCCAGATTGACTGGCCACAGTCCGGTTGCTTTCCAGCCGGCTAGGGCGTTCAACTTCGTGATAGCTTCTTTCCGAGCTTTATCATAAGTGTATAAGAAGGTGATCTTGCCGATATGACTCGAATCTGCGATAGAAGCAAGATCCGAGAGGAATTTCCTCTATGCCCTCTTCAACGGTCCAAAGACTGCAACATCTAGCGGCTGAAGGACATGAGAAGAGTGTGCTGGAAGGAAAAGCACGAAGATGTTATTATTATAACACTCAAACAAGAAGTCTTCGGTCATATGACTTCCGTGACCGTCGAGGATAAGAAGACGCGGTTCTTTTGGATTCTCGGGCTTTGTCGACGGAATAAACACCGTTTTCAGCCAAATCAACGCTATATGATTATTTGTCCAGCCCTTCTCGCTGCTGGTGAATTCCCAGGCTTCTAGGAAGTCTAATTTCTCCGGAAAATTCTGTTGTTGGACTGTTTTCCCTTTGAAGATCACCAAAGGTCTCAGGACCTTCCCTGTTGCCGAGATACACTCGAGAATTGTGATCCAAGACCTCGAACCAGGCTGACGAATAAGTACTGACTTCTTGTCCCTGCAACCAAGGAATAAACCGTTCAGTCCTATCCCTTCCATCATTCCAACTTCGTCGACGTTGTATCTGTTCTTCTGCTTGACTATTCGAACTGCCGGCATCGACAATAACATGAAGAAGGCCTTGATAAGTTCAGTAGAAGCTCCGTTATAACGCTCGGAATCCATACGCTTGCCCGGCAAAGTCTTCACTTCTTTATTCCTGTCCATAAAAGACTGTAACCAGTGTTTTCCGATGCCTTCTGGGAAGCCGTTGCGGACAGCGATCTGATTTGCAAAGTGTCGGACCTGCTGATGCGATACAGGGCACCCTAGATCAGCTTGGACCATAATCCAATCCCGTAATCTTCTTTCCTGAACAGCTGAGAGCTTTTGATCGGGTTCGTGAGCTTGTCTTGGTGTTGTGGCACCTTTAATACGGTCTTGAAGCGTTGAACGGTTCACGCCACAAGCCGCTGCAGCTTTGTTCACAGAAACTCCTTCTGAAACCATCTGAAGAGCAGCGCTCATATCTTTTTCAGTGAATTTCGTCATTCTGAATTGATTGATATACTTTATGACTTTATACGATTAAAATTAAATAAGTTATGAATTTTTAAAGATATCATAAATTGGGAGGCTGGGTAAAAAAGTGGGTGGCCGGTTTCTGGGGGTGGCCGGTTTCCCCGTATCCGACGTTAGTAAAGCACGGTTTCATTCACATGCCATGTTTGGCTTAGTTGGGTGCCCGCTTAGTGTCTTGGTAGACCGGAGATTGCAAATACAAAAGGGAGTCGGGGAGATAAGAGAATGTGCGGGGTCGGTCGGAGTTTAGATATCGGAGGCTACCGAGCCGTCCCCTTCAGGAACCTCTTCATCCTGCGGCTGGTCTTTCCGACCGCGCCGTGGCCGAGTGTTGTTCAGAAAAGTCCGTAGCATGTAGAGAAAGCGATTGACTGGTAATAGTTGTTATTCATGCAATAGTATATTAGTATCTCTTGGTATCCATTTCAGGAGAAAAGCCTATTATCCTCAGACGCCTTCCAGAATCTTATCTTACTTGTTAATAATTACCATCAAGATGTTCAAGATTGCTATTATCGGAGGCGGTATTGGCGGACTATTCGCAGCCTTGTCCATTCACCAGCACTTGCCGTCGGAGGACACCCAGGTTGACGTCTATGAACAAGCACCTGAGTACAAGGAGATCGGCGCGGGCGTCGGTATCGGCCCTAATGCTGCCGCTCTGGCTGTGAAGCTAGGTTTGCGAGAGAAGCTAGCCAAGATCACAGGTACACGGGCAGGCATTTGGCTTTCCTTCCGACGTTTCAATGATGGATCAGACGTTCATACGGTGAAAATCCCAGGTGATGCCAACACACCACACTTTTCGTTACATCGTGCAGAGTTCCTACAAGTCTTAATCGACACTGTTCAGGAACGGGCTGCAGCTACCCTGCATACGAATAAACAATGCAAATCGTTGGAAGTAGGCGCCTTATATCTTGAATCTACCTGCATTCCCCGAATCTAACACTGAATTCAGGACCAGGGTGACGCCGTACTGCTCACCTTCGCCGATGGCACGACGGCGTCTGCAAACCTAGTCATTGGTGCGGATGGTATCCACTCGGTCATTCGCAAGCATTACGTTGTATGTTCTCTCGCGTCAATCTGTCTATCGCTAAACTCACCCGATGACAGCGTGACACGCCACAGTACGGGAATATGGTCGTTTACCGTGGCCTCTGTAACACCGAAGAGATTGCGGATGAATGGCCCCTCGACACTTACGCCACCGTTTTCATGGCTCCCGGGAAGCATTTCCTTACATTCCCTATTAGCAGCGATAAAGTAGTGAATGTTGTTGCCTTTGTCATGACACCATGGGAGGACCTGGGTGAAGTGAGGGAAAGCTGGACCCTTACAAGCGACAGGTGCGCGGTTGCAAACCACTTCAAAGATTTCGCCCCTGCGGTTCAGCATGTCATCCAGAAGATGAACACAAACCCTCTGAAGTGGGTTCTCTTTGATAGACAGCCTTCTCCGGAATGGGTTTTCTCCGAAGGCAAGGTGGTTCTGCTAGGAGACTCTGCACACGCTATGTGCCCTCACCAAGGTTCGTTCATCTACAGAATCCCCGCCCCAGCCTCGTCTATGTGACTGTTGTCTTACGTTTTAATTAGGAGCTGGAGCTGGGCAGGCGCTTGAGGATGGTTATGTTCTTGGACGGGCTCTTCACGACTATTTCAAGAACCTGGAATCAACCAAGCCACGTCCCATCGCAGATTACCTACATCTGTATCAATCTATCAGGTACCCGCGAGCGGAAAAGGTGCAAGAGACGTCTCGACAGGCCGGAGACTTGTACGAGTTAAGATCCCAAGAAGTTGCGGGACTCAGCTACGAAGATAGCCTGCCGGTTGTTCGGGACCTGCTGAAAGATCGCATGAAATGGATTTGGACTGAGGATATAGACCAAGTGTATGAAAAGGCGCTTAACGCGCTGTAGCAAAGGAGTGTGCTCCTACCAGGGGATATTTATGCATTTGCCTTCTTGGAAAACTGTCTCTAGTATACTGTAGACAGTCCTTCCACAATTGTACCAACGATACAACCTCAATAATACGAATAACCTCATCGTTTACCAGGCACCCTTCAGGCTCTTTATTCGAAATTAATTCAGGAGTTAGTCATGTAACTTGGTATTGGCCGATTAATGTTATCCACCCAACCTACTAACCTGCTGCAGCCCACCTTGTACCTGTCCATCCTCCGCCTGGTCCCAACATTCGTAGTAAAACGTCTCGCACTCGTTCTTCCAACTTCACTGAATGCTAGGTGTCATTGAATGGTAAGATAATCCTTTAAGTACAAGCGAAGTTGATCGCCAGAAACTGCAAAAGGTGATCAGAGAAAGGGGTTGAAAAATAAGTAAAGGACGAAAAAGTTTGCCCAGTCGGAGCATGACGGAAGCAGAATTGTCTAATAGCATCCTTTGCTGCGATCTCTCACTCGTAAGACGAGACACAGAGGCGTAGCATTTGATACGAAAGACAACTTTTTTATTTTTTATTTTTTATTTTTAGATAAAACTGACGAGTTTCCTGATATTCATCTATCTGTTACCGTATCCCATTCATATGTGCAACATCCTCTCTGTTGTTTCGACCAGGACCTTGAACGCATCTCTCACGTGAACATCATCAACAAATGGCGCGCTCAAACAAAACCTGATGGCGTAGATGCCGCCGTTGAGAATAGTGCTCGTAAGGTAGATCCTGCCTTCTTCATTTATGGCGGTGTATACCTTCTCTGTGAATGCATTTTTGTCATTTGAACTAGCTCCTGCGCGTCCAGTCAGTCTGAGGACGACCAGAGAGAACCGTGGCACGGCAACAATCTCAAACAGATCTGACCGGTCCTGGACCAAGTGCGTGAAGAGATCACCATGACGGATTCCCTTCCGGATATGTTCTTGTAGCCCCCTGACGCCAAACGTCCGAATCACGAACCACACCTTGAGGCTTCTGAATCTGCGCCCCAGAGGGATTTGCCAGTCGCGATAGTCCGTCACAAGGCCGCTTTCAGAGTAATTGTTTCTCAGGTAGGGAGGTGTCATGCTGAAAGCATCGATGTAATATTTCCGTTTTTGGACAAAAGTGACGGAGCAGTCAAAGTTCGTAAGCAGCCACTTGTGTAGATTCATGTTGAAGCTGTGGAATCGGTGGAACTGGGATGTGAAATGGTAGTACTCGGGACAAACAAGCGCAGCGCCAGCATAGGCCGCATCGACGTGAACCCAGACCTCTCCCTTTCCAGGCGGGGCGACCTCTTGTAAAACATCTGCGATTGATTCGAAGTCGTCGTATGCGCAGCAGTCTGTCGTCCCGAGAGTCGCGGTCAGATAGAATGGCGTAAGTCCGTTGGCGCGAGCCTTCATGACGGCAGCTTTCACGTCAGCACCGGTCAGAGCAAAGTTATTCTCGGCCCAGACAGGGATTGCCATGAACCGAACGCCAGAAATTTGGGCAGCCTTCTTGGTACTGGAATGTGTTGTAGCGCTACCGAAAGCCACCAGCTTATTCCGTGCTTCAGCCATGGCGTCATCGAGCCGGTCGGCCGGTACACCTTCGGTCGCTTCTCGTAGGTACTTGTCGCGGGCTGCGACCATGACGGTCAAAATAGCCTCGGATGCCGTGCCGTGGATGACGCCCCCACCGAGGGTAGTGCCTGAGGATCGATAGGTCTCAGGGAGGTTGAACATTTCGGCAAGCCAATCTGTCACAATGGTCTCGAGCTCGGTTACAGCAGGGGAGCAGATCCAGTTGAAGGCAGATCCGTTGAATGCACTCGAGTACATTTCCCCTAGCATGCCAGGGAAACTCGATGAGCATGGGAAGAAAGCCATAAAATTGGGCGATTGCCAGTGCGTAATACCGGGCATGACCTTGGCTTCTATGTCTTTCTGAATATCCTCCCATTGTTCACCTTCGACCGGCGGTTTAGAAGGAATCAATTCGCGAAGATAGCCGGGCTTGACGCTTGAAACGACCCGACGCTCAGTAATGTTTTCATAATATCTTACGACTAGTGAGGAGGGGTAAACCTGTTAGTGTCGCGGTGACAGGGGCATGCAACGGTCGTTAAACGTACTCTCATCGATCGAGGACCGAGCCGCCTGCCTGAAGCCTTCTAGATCCATAATACCAGTGGTTGTCATTATTGAGTGTTCCGTTTCGAATCAGCCTTGGAGGTGTGATGGTCTCAAGAAGTTGGGACTCATGCTGGATCGCAACGAGGATTTGAAACTTGCCTTTTTACTTTTTCACTATTTCACTCTTTCGCATGCGCTACTTATCCGGTGGGTACGGACGGCCGACGAGGTCAGGTTCGCAAACCGGACTAGACTCGTCACTCTTAGAGTACAACTCAACTCCGCAATCACATTTCTAGCTCAACTTAACTCCCCGGTATCACTCACCCGTCACGAAGATGGACCGGAATTTAATTATCCGTCCCACTAAATACGTTAACGCCGTAAGCTCCGCGCTTCTGCTCGAAACTCGATGTGAAACTGCCATAATTCTGTGATCAGAAATTTTTATGGTGTGGAGGAATATACCGGAAAAGACGGACTTAACGGAATCAGTCATGCCGCGTGATAAGTCCCTTTTCGCTTGGATCCCAAAAAAGCTTACCAGACGTTCCCCGTCTCTTGCGTCATCCAGTTCCTCTGATCCACACAGCACGTACATACTAAGAAGGTTAATGGAGGAGGCATGTACACCAACGAGGTACATATCACGGTTGTTAAACCGACTTGATCGTAGACTTTGAGGACAGAAGAAAATACCATGGTCGGAAAGCCGGAAACAACCTTTTCTAACCTTTGCCGGCTGTATACAAGTACTGGCCTCATGCTGAGAACTTAAAGCCAAGTTCAACTAATTATCCCTACCATGTAAAGTTTCGATTTGCTTTTTCTTGGTACAAATGATGAGTTCCAGGTAAATTGAGTCTATGGGGTAAAGAATAGAGCCACCTTTCAAATCCAATGCTGCAAGCGGTTCTCAACCCGATACCATTAATCATGGCCAAAAAGTCACTATCCCGTTCTGATGATGACAGTTTTGGTCTCCAAATAGTTGTCCAGGCTGTCATGAATCCCCTCTCGCGCGATGCCGCTTGCTTTGTAACCTCCAAATGGAAGGTCAAATGCACCTGTAGGACTAGTGCAGTTAATTGCTACCGTGCCGGCCTCTGAGGCTCTTGCGAAGCGCATGGCCCGGTCAATATCCCGAGTGTATATAGCGGAATAGAGACCGAATTCGGTATCGTTTGCCATTCGGATAACCTCGTCTTCATGAGTAAAGATGTTGATGTTGACGATGGGCCCAAAAACTTCATCTCTCATGATTTGTGCACTCTCAGGTGTTTCAACCAAGATGGTCGGATGAATGAAGTAACCTGCGGTATCCTCCGGCACACCTCCAAGAACAAGTTTGCCATCCTGCTTGCCCATCTCAAAGTACTTCTTGACGATGTCGTACTGTACACTGTCCGCTTGCGGCCCATGATTGACTTCTGGGTTCAGAGGGTCACCCAGTCTGACGTCTTTGGCACATTCTTTGAATAGATCCAAGAAGCGTTCCGCCACTGAAGCATGGACATACACACGAGAATTAGCCATGCATGCCTGTCCGCTGTTCCACTGGATACTGTGGAAGGTTTCCTTGGCTGCGCGCTCCAGATCCGCATCGTCGAAAACTACAGCCGGGGTCTTTCCTCCCAGCTCAAGGATAACGTTCTTCATATTGGATTTTGTTGCCGCTTCACGGATCAGGCGCCCAGTTCGTCCTGAGCCAGTGAATGTGATTAGCCTAACATCCATGTGTGAAGCAAGGGTGGCACCGGAGACATGGCCATGGCCGGAAAGCACATTGACGACACCAGGTGGGAAGCCAGCTTTTTGGATGAGCCCTGCAAGCTTTGCCGACTTGGAAGGATTAGCGTTATTCCAGACGTGAAGATATCACAGACCAGGCAACTCACCGTCAGAGGGGCTTTTTCGCTGCTCTTGAGAACCACAGTGTTGCCAGCCGCGATCGCGGGCGCGATCTTATTTATGAAAACGTACACCGGAACATTCCAGGGAATAATAGCAGCAACAACTCCAAACGGCTGCCTCAGAGTCAAGTTGACGAATCCTGGAGTATTGAGACTAGTGCGACCCTGGCCGTTCCAGCCAGCCGTGGCGAAATACTGAAGCTTTTTCACCGCGGCTTTTGCATCCCAGTAGCCAGAGATGGGTCGCCCCATGGAGATGGCCTCTAGGCTAGCGAGTTCCTTCTCAGACTCCGCGATCAAATTGGCGAGGTTGTTCATATAAGCTCCTCTTTCGTGGACCGATATACTCGCCCATGCTAGCGAGGCCGCCTTTGCCGCTGCAACAGCACGATTTGTGTCCTCTACTGTGGCCTCGGATACTAACGAAGAGACGGTTAAGCTTCTGGCTCATCCCTTGGGATGCGACGAGGGAGGAAGAGAACTCACCCAAAGCGACCGTCTCACGTGTGAGCGGCGAATTCAACGGGAAAGTCCCTCCGTCTGAGGCCGCGGAGAACTAGCAAACATGTTAGTCCCACCGTTTTGTTTGGTACTTCATGAGCATGATGCTGACCTGGCCATTAATAAAGAGACGTGTCTCGTACTTCGTTGACGTTGGTGCAGCCATTGCCTTTCCGAATAATGTGCTTCAACCAGGTATAGGTTTGGGACCCATCTACCAGTTTTGTACCGCAATTTATCTACGGTTTGCGCCGGCCCTAATGGCCTAATGACTTTCTAAATTCCGGCGCTATAGCTGCAGTGGAGCATAAGAAGTCTTGAGCACTTGGAAGTTTTCCGGCTCAAGATCTTATCTCCCCGGAACGGATGAGCTAACCACTGTGGGCTCGGAACGAACACTACACAAAGCCGAATTTCAACATATTCATCCGAGTCGTAAGGGTACGTATAGCGATAGCTTATGCACCCCATGACCTTTTCCCCCGCTGCTGGAGTAGACAAGAATGTTAGGCAAGTCGTCTGAACATAGATAAACGCCCGATTACTGCACATACCACTGGTAAATGATAAGCCCGTTTCTCGCCAACGATCCCAATATGCCATCTCCTTGTCGTGCAATTGTTACGTCAGCTCCGAGGTCGGATGGCCAGCCCAGTTTTGTCCTCGAGAATCTATCACTCCGCGATCTCCGGGACGATGAGTGCTTGATCGAGGTGGTGGCCACCGGTATGTGTCATACAGACATTGCAATAGCTGCACGACCTAACGGGATCTTTCCTAGGGTCCTAGGTCACGAAGGTAAGTGAATACATTGCCTTTGGAAAACCTGAGCTAGCAAAACTCCCCTGTATTGGCAATAGTTTAATGACAAACATCGTCGTTAGGTTGTGGCTATATTAGAAAGATCGGGGCTAAAGTCGGCGCTCAGTCCGTTCCTCCTACAGCACCTTTGCGGGAAGGTGATCCGGTTCTACTTTCCTTTCCTTCCTGTGGAAGCTGTACCAGCTGCCAGAGCAGGCATCCAGCATATTGTGTTTCAAGTTTTGCATTATGCTTCAACGATTGTGGGCCAGCTTACACAAGGCGTACGGGATCCGCGGGGGGTGATGGAGACCCTGTAGCTGGCGGCTTCTTCGGCCAGTCCAGCTTTGGAAACCTGGCTGTCGCCAAAGAGAGCTGCATAGTCAACATGAACGGCATTGTCAAGGATAGGGAAGAGCTCAAGTTGTTTGCGCCCCTGGGTTGCGGTATCCAAACAGGCGCCGCAACGGTCTCTATCCTCGCACAGGCTAAGCCCAGCGACTCGGTTGCCATCATAGGACTCGGAGGTGTTGGCCTCGCGGGGATCATGGTAAGTCGTGCATAGTAGGTTTCTCTACATTTCCACTGACTGTTTCGTGCGCGGTCAAGGCTGCCAAGATTATTGGCTGTAAGCAAATCATTGCTATCGATCGTGTCGAGGAGAAACTACGACTTGCAAAAGAATTAGGAGCGACTGTTCTGATCAACAATGAGAAATGTCCTGCTGGATTTTCGGAAGCTGTCCGGACAGCGACTAATGGAGCAGGCTCTTCAATCACTATCGATACTACTGGAGTGCTTCCTGTCATTCAGCAGGCACTCGACATGACTAGTGTTCTCGGTAAAATGGTTTTGCTGGGGATGTCAGGAGCATCTATTGAAGTTGATATTACGAAGTTCAAGATGGCATGTTCTTTACCCTTATACTTTTTCAAGGTTGCTAACATGACCGCTAATTGAAGACCGGAAAAACTTTGCTTGGCAGCGTACAGGGGGACGCAGTAGGGTCAATTGTGAGTTACCATAACGAAAGGACCCAAATCACTTACTAATTTTGCGTGTGAAAAAGTATGTTCCACAGATGATTCAATGGTATCGTGAGGGACTGTTTCCTATTGATAGGCTTATTACCTTCTACAAGGTGAGTAGGTAGAACAGTAAGTCAGAAGCCATACTAATCATATTGATAGGCCGAGGATGTCAGCCTAGCACTTGAAGATATGAAAGCTGGGAGGACTGTTAAACCTGTTATATTTTGGGAGGATAGTTAGTATATAGCAAACTGGCGAGGTACTCGTGGAGATGGGAGATTACTTGAGGTGAAGCGTTTCGTCACGTTGACAACTCGCGTGGGTAGCACGGACTGTTACGGTACGTATTGATGAAGTGGGATAAGCCTATTACTCTCAGGGGATATCTTGCTCTGTAGAGTAAATGAGTTCTTCGCTGCAGGCTTCGACGACTGGTCGATTGTTCGGGGCGCAGACCTTTCCTCGGAACAACATTTTACTTTTTTAGACATGGGAATACGCTCCAGTCTCTTACTCATGGCCGTTCTTTACAATAAATCTTGGAGGCATCTGCTGTTTCATGTCGGTGGATGCTAAAATGGACTCACCTACTCATTCGGAGCTTGATCTGTACTCCTTGAGAATCCTTTACTATTTTCCTTACGCTCGAGTGTCTCAATCTCGTATTTCAAGTGACGTTCATCCACAGGCTAATAAAATGTAATTCGCGATTAAAACACTGCCTTAGCGCCTTATGCTTCCATATTTTTGTTGTCACAAATTTATATGTTGACTGTTAATCAACAGCCATCTACTGCTTTAAATCATCTCGTGGACTTGCGTTGATATCCGGGGCTATCGGTTTTCGTATTAACAGCAAGCAGAGAATTGATTAACAATGTTGTCAGTTACCATCACGATTTTGGCCCATTGATAGAACGAATCGCAGAGAAGGAGCAAAGATGGTTCGTTATAGAGAAAGACGGTTGCCTCTCATGGCAAAGTCCCTACCCGCATCTGCCTTCTGACTGGTCTAGGAGTTCCTTGGGATTCAGTTGTGTGGTTCGTGTGGCGGTAGCAAGGCATCTTGTGATAAGTCTTTCAGGATTTCTTATCAAGATACTAATGATGACCCTCCCTTTTCCACATTCAGCTTTCCTATTCTTTAGTTTGCCAGTTGGGAGCCTCGGCATCGCTCGAATTTGACTAAACCATGGTTGGCTACATCGGCTCCCATAATCACAACATGAACAACTCATTTCCGAGATTCCGAAATGATACAAGAAGTGCGGTTTCACTCATGCGGGGAGATGGAACACCAAGGACCGGTCCTGCCACAAGCTGCACATCTGCCATGATGCTTTAACTAGTATAGCGCTTTGATTAGTGGCTTGACATGGTTTTCTTAATTTGCGAAGCCGCGGGATGTAATTCGACTCACTATTAGGTATTAGACATAAATACGACAAAGTCACTGCCCCTCTTGAATGGTGGCCATATCGGATTAATATCCTTTGTCTCGCCTCATCACACTCTACATCAGATCTTGAACGATGCAATCCCTTCAACTCCATCACATCTCGCGGCCGAACCCTCATGAGATTGCCGAGGCTCCGGGCAGCCTGACAAAGGACAGAGGTATAGCGATTAATCTTCGAGATCAAGCGAAGGATGACAATATCCTGTTGGACAGAGACCACACTGTCCTTTCTAGGTCTAGTACTTGCGGCAGAGGGGAGGTTGATGCAGAAAACCGGTTCCATCAGCTCGGCTGGAAACGGCTTTTGATCATCCTTATCATAACGGCTATTACTCTGGGCACACTTAGTCTTCCTTCAGCTTTTGCCACGCTTGATATGGCCATCGGCACAGTTGCTTGCGTTCTTCTTGGCCTTGCGGCCATGTACGCCAGCTACATCATCGGAGAGGTTAAACTCAAATATCCTCAGACGAAACACTACGTTGATATGGGACGGTTGCTGATGGGCCGTTGGGGATACTATATCTTCAGTTTCGCTTTCGTTGCGCAACTCATACTGGTTGTCGGGTCCCACTGTCTCACTGGAGGGACTGCTTTCGTCGCTGTCAGTGGCAGCAGTATTTGCTCCTTGGTCTTCAGCATCGCATCAACCGTGGTATTGATACTTCTCGCAATTCCGCCATCATTCGCCGAAGTCGCAATTTTAGGCTATATCGATTTTATCTCGATTGTCGCTGCGATGACTGTAACAATCATCGCTACAGGGATTCAATCCTAGATGGCTCTTGACGGCTTGGCAGGTATTAACTTGTCTCCCTGGCCAAGGGAGGGCACAACATTCGCCGAAGCCATGACTGCGATTGCCAAGATTGTGTTTGCCTACGCGTTTGCCGTTGCCATGCCTTCTTTCATGGATGAAATGCAAACGCCTGTGGATTTCCGGAAATCTATCGTGGCCGTGGGCTTAATAGAGATCGGTATATACACTTTCACAGGTGCGATCCTTCACGCGTTTGTCGGCCAAGATGTACAATCACCCGCGTTGCTCTCAGCGAATGACACCTTTACACACAAACAACCATGTTTCTGCGGCAGGGCACGGGCTTTAAACTATTGAGGATATTCGTACAGATTCAAAAGTCAAGGTGTCTGTTTGCACAGGTGCACGGCTTCCACTTCACCAACTCTGGGCCAATCAGGCCACGAGTTTCTCTGTTCCAACAAGCTTCAGCTCTACCAGCAACATCTTGGCATCAATAGTTTGTCACAACTGCTGTATACTCACCACTTGGGGGGTTAAAACATCACATGGCTCCCATGTGATGTAAACTCATGTCTGTTCTAGATTGTTCTTTGCTATGACCCTAGACCCATCATTAGCGGCGGAATCAAAGTGAGTCACGCCGTTGCCATGTCTTTGGGCTGTGCCCCTAATTCACGGCGTGTCCCTCAATGAGGTGCACTGTTCGCGTAACTTGGCCGCCAGGATCAGCCTCCAGCTATGTAATGTGGTGTCACCCCACCATCCTGTCAGGGGTTCTTTAGGCTAGCAGGGTAGGGCTAAAGCAGTGGGGTGATCAATAGTCTGTGAAGGAAAGGGTGTAAAATGATTTGTCGCATCTCCCTCTATTTCCACATGTACAGCTTGCATCCCCACAGTCCAGGGATTTAGTCATGGACGCGTATTCCCACCAATGATATGGAAGCATGATCTCTTGGTATGCAACAGCTGAAAGCTGATGAACACGTCAGCTACGTACCCCCTTTGCTGACGATGGACTGCTCTGTCGCAAACCCGGCTTGATGGTTATGGCCTGTATGCAGGTTGACCGCGTGAAAGGGGGTCGGCAGTATGATGGCCAACAGGGCGGTAATACACCATTAGGAGACCATAGCGTCACAGAAGCGAGCCGAGTGAAATGAACAGCCCAAGTCAATTGAGGAGGTGGTACGGTTTCGGCACCATCCATCAGCATTCATAAAACAGATTGCCGACTAGCAAACAGACAACCTCCAGCCTACACTCAGCCACGCTGGACATTAGTTCAGGGTCATGACGACAAACTGAAGATGGGTGGGCGACGTGCTGATGCAGTCAAGTTTGGCATTTAGCATCTGGTTTCTCTTCTCTGTCATCTCAACATTGAGGATTAACGTTGTCTTTCAGGTAACTTCGACACGGCGGGCGTAGATAGCTCTATGCGCTGCAACAGAGTACTCTTGAGCTGGAATTTCCTTGATCTTGTGAGGCGTTTATTTGTGAACAAGCAACATTTTCCATGCTTCATCTCTACAGAACTGCACCTGCAACGCCCGGTCAATCTGGGCCTATCGGGCATTTATGACCTGTCTTTTCTTTCTTTCTTGTCAAGACGCCAGTCACCAGAATGCCAACACTTCTGCAATGGCGTGTATTGGTGCTCTAGCTTAATGCTTTCGTCATATCTGAGAGGTAAGCGACTAGAGGGAACCGTACTCTTCCGGCGTGAAATAAGATCGCCACATTTTCGAACACTTCCCTCCTCAACCCTTTCCCAGCTGCGACGAATGCAAAACTCTTTCCACCTGTTTTCTGCCAGAGTTTCTATTGCCTATTTGCATCGATATCGTTCCTCAGGCTCATTTCAATGCAAATTGTCTCTGGTCAGATCTTCTGTACTTCCACTAGTCACTATGGCAGCTTCACTCAGCAATGTCGGCTCGACGGTTAAAAAGGACACTCTTTCTGGCGATTCCCAAGCCTCAGCTCACAACGCTGCTACAACTCCCCCTCAGAGAGCCCTGGCCGAGTTTCGGTCGCCTCCCCCAATTCAATCTGACCAACCTTCAGCTCGGTTCCGTGACACTCCTCGCGCAACACCACATCGTCAGAATTGGGGCCATCGACGACGAGCTACTACGGCCCTGGGAGGTCATTTCGCCACTTCACCTCGGAGAATTCCCATTTCCAGCTTACGATACGAAGTACAGCGCCCTGATGATATGGCTCCAGATCGAGTAGTCCGTCAACATCGCCGCATTCGTACAGCTGGTACGCATCGACGATCTGACAGCTTCCTGCAATACCTAGTGTCTGTTCAGAATCTCACCCGAGCAATTGCGGGTGCCCAGCAGGCTGGCCTTCATGGGCAAGGGAATGAACCAGCCCTTGCAAGTCATCCACTGCAGATGTCTCCCATCAGCACAAGTCCACTACATCAACATCGGCCCCGGAGATCTTCCTCAACAACATTACTTCAACCGAACATCGCAGGTCTAGGACGGGATATGGCCAATCTATCGATTCACGCACGCAGCTCTCAGCCATCTCATCTGCCGACTATCAGGGTGATTTCCCCGACTTCCGCGCCCATGACATCGCCTTCGCGCCTGAGCATGCATTCTTTGGGGAATGTGGACATCCGCATCGCTGAGCGTGATACTCAACTCCCTTTCCATTTGAACGGCTATAATCAGCAGAATTGAGATGGTTGTGAGATTGGTTATGAGAGACACTCGATGTTCTGCGAGTGTGAGATGTGCCAAGCCGGGTACAATCGCTCGCCATAGCTCTTGATGTGGTAGCAAACTCAGGATGCACGCCGCTGTTGACACTATTGGATATGGGATTTTATACTGGATGTTTTCGAGGCTAGAAGTGGTAAATTACAATAGTCTGACACTGCGCGAATGCCCGCGATGGACTTAAGAGCATAAGACATATTTGTTGTATTTATTGATGTTAGCACTAAACTTTTTATGAATTGTACCTTTCTGCTGATAAGAAGTCACTGCTAATAAGAAAGAATTACTGTAGATAAGAATTAGTTGCTGCTGACAAGAATTGCTGCTGGTCAGAAGTTACTGCTGATAAGAAGTTGCTATTAATAAGAAGGAATTACTGCTAATAAGAATTGCTGCTAATAAGAAAGAATTGCTGCAGACAAGAAATTGATGCTGAAAAGAAGGAATCTCTGTTGATAAGAACGAACCGCTGCTGGTACCTCGAGGCCTTCATGTCAAAAGGTATGCCAATAGTAGCAAGAACCTCCAAGCCTGTAATACTGACTTTCATGCCCATTCACTGCATGCGATGATGATTCTTGCGATAGATGGCGTTTGGAGAACTTGACTCCATGAGGAGATTTTGGGGTGTTGTCTCACCAAGCGTTATCCAGAAAGATTGGCTGGTCTGTTACCTGAACAGTTGGCCTTTCCACTACATTTCACAGCAAATTTTAGCCTAGATTCTGAGTTGGTAAAAAGAGAGACTACTTGGCCGCGAAGCTCACATAGGATACTGAAGATGCCCTTTTACCTACTGGGACATTGAAAGGTAACACTGAACTACTAAAGTGCATTTACAAGGTCTCAAGATCAATTGACATGATGGCCTCTGAGACTGCATAACTAACGTTGAGCTGATGAGTGGATGAGATATATAGATTAAACTGAAAGCTCTAGTTACTGTGGATCGAAATCATGTGATATAAAATATACTTCAAGTGATGTCAATTTCCATTGAAGAGGGACTTCCATATGTGCTCAAAAAAACTCTCCTCCTTTAAATTGTTTAAAAAACCGCTCATTTGCACGATTCATCTTCCGTATAAAGTCCAACGTCTCATATTAAAACACATACGTCTCCTCCGCGGTAGGCATCTCCATCCCCACAAGCACCGCATCATCAGCATCTGGTACAGGACACTCCGGCTGTAAACACCATTGCCCGTCCTATTACTTCTCACCTAATGTTAGCCAGGTTCTGAAGTCGTCTTCTTGCGAGAGGACGTCATGTTGGCGTGCTGCGAATGTTGAGGCTGCGGAGGCGATGCCGATGAGATTCTGTATGATGGATGTGAGGCTTTGGATGTCGGCTGCGGGGAGGGTTTTGGGTGGGCTGTGAATGCCGAGGTATGAGAGAAAGCCGTTCTGGTTCGGCGGGGTTGGTATACCAGCAAATCCGGCTAGACGAGTGACGCCCTGTATGGCTACGGGGACCATGGTTGTCAGATTGGTGATCTCGCCGAGTTTGGGTTGTGTATGGTTACGCAAACCAAATCTCTCAATGTCATTTCTGAGCTTGTCCAGCCACTTCAAGTCCAATGGTTGGCACGATAGTTCTTTTGTATGCTTCGCATCAAGCTCTTCTGGAACGTCACAGGCGTGCGATCTGCGAGGCCACCTTCTCACAATATCAAGTAGAAATTCCACACCGGCAGACAGGGTACCCATATGTATAATCAGAATGATACCAACACCTATGGCCCAGGCATCAGCGTAGATAGTTTGGAGCAAATCTTCAAGAGCCCAGCAAAAGTCATCAATGTCAAATACACCCTCTGGAAGGTCCCATAGCAATTCCGCTCATGTTTCTCCATTGCGCATTCGGGTGAGGATATATGCATCGAAGCTTTTCGGGAACGGGCCGTTGGAGGACCAGGGAATTGGACCGTTAGAGTCCCAGAGTCGATGTATTGATTTGAGGTGATTGCATGCTCAGTCGATGGCGTCAGAGTGCTCACCAAGGCCATCCACCAGGGTCTTTGTTTCTTTGTTGAGGAATGTTTCGTGTGGGATGGTCGCGTGTTGAAGGAGTATGTGAGCATATTGGTCTAGAAACGGCATGGTCGTGTTGACAGATGGAATTGGTTTCGTTATTACCTGTTCGTCATTGGGTATAAGGATGAAAGCTGCTCGAAAGGCCATGACACTGGCTATCAACAACGCGTAGATGGCCCAGCGCGTGGAGATCCGTCTGCGTGGACATGGCGGCGGCGGCGAAGCAGGTGTCACTTCATCTTGACTATTATGACTAGTAATCACTTGAGTCAGCGGCACTGCAGATGCTTGGTGCTGTAATGGACTTAGACGCCGTGATAATGGGTTACAGGGGGGGACAACTCTGGACCGGAGCTGGCGCTCTGCAAGCATGGCCAGTCGGTGGTTGCATACGCATACGCATGTGAATATTCAAGGGAAATTAGGTGAGCAGAAACTATAATCTCAAGAGAAATGACAATAATGATAATAAAGAAAGAAAATTCATGAGGGGTTGATGTTTCTTTCTTTGTTCTCTCAAGTCAACCAACACCAAAAGCCACCGACCGATACCAGATAACATAAAGCCATACTGATAGGAAACCTGAAGATATGATACATTCATCATTAACATGGATAAAAATTAAAGACCTCTCATCAAATCCCTCAACGTCCTCGGAACCTGTATACTGTCCCCCTCACTCCTCCAACAGAGCATCAAGCGCCTGCTGCGACGCCTCCTGCGTACGCCACGCATCGATATCGCGTTTCCAGGGAACAAGCATCTTGATGATGTTTATGAGATACTTCATTCTCATATCCGTCTTGTCAAGACGGCTGTATACTTCTGTAGAATCCGTAGAAGAAGAGTCGTGTGGAGGAGTTGGTGAAGAAGGCGCGCGTATGTATGACGGCTGTTTGTATTTCTCGCGACTGGTAGGTATGATTGTTCGATCGGAGGAGTCTGAGAAGTGAGCTTCATCTTCGTCTGGCAGGTAGTTGATAGGAATGCGTTAGTACAGGCCTTGGCATGAATGAATGAATGGGAAGGGTACCTTTGTGAGGAGGAGTAGAATGTCCTTGAATCTGAGCGCGACGGAGCGGTATACAAGTCGCGGCGGGAACATGTCGATGACCTTGATGGGCGCCATGGGTTGGGAGGAGTACAAGTCTGACTTGCGAGAGGAAGTTGATGTCCAAGATCGTCGCGCTGTTGTCGGAGGATGACGACGGGCTGGCCTGCTAGAGGGTGAGGCACAGTGTGGTCTAGAAGAACCATGGCCGCTCCAAGAAGGAGAGGTTCGACGATGATGGTCCAGACTCGCCACAGAAGGAAGAGCACCAGACATGGTATCCCCCTTCCCTCTGGCGTCCTCGCCCTCACACCAGGCTCATCCTCCCTAGCAACATGCTTCCCATCACTCAAACAATCATACGAATCCCCATTCCAGTCCCTCCTCAACCAACCCCTCGAATATCTCGGCCCCTCTCTATCCATAATCATGACCTAAACTGACACTCTGTAGCAAATGGGATCCACGACGCCGCTGCACCTGCTCAAGATGCTTCACTCACGCAGACTGAGGCTGAACTGGTTGGTGAGATTATTGCTGAGCAGCAGCGGCTGGAGTATGCGACTGAGAGATGGCGGGAGGCGGCAGATGCGTATAATTTCTGGGAGGTGGAGATTCAGAAGATTAACGGGAGGATGAGAATGCGGGAGAGGTTGATTGAGGCGGAGAATAAGGCCAGAACGGTGGAGTAAGAAAATATGGGTGCTGTTGGGTGAGTGTATTGAGATTGCATTGACTAGCCAGAGATGGATTGGTAACAATCAGCTCGTACTCGCAATACACAGCAACATCGCGAGCTCAATGTCAGTTCGCAGCCATATCAACCTCCAAATAAGACTCTTATAACCACACTTTAGGCAGAATACCAACCACCCACAATAGCAAGAAAACGCTCAAGTTTCAATTTGGATTTTAGCGAATGGTGGAAGATGAAGGATATCAGGAACCAAGTGTTGATGACGATGATGATGTGAAATGTCTTGGTTACCGCCATTGGGATGATGGCTAAGGACAGGGTCTTACAGGTTATTTTATCTAGCTTGGGATTCTTAAGATTGAATACACAGACATTAAGCGACAAAAGAAAGTACCACTAGATAGCTGGAGTTTATAGTCTCCGCAGCCTCCAAAAGCACTTCCTCAAGCTCAACAACCATCACCTTACTCAAACATCCGCATCCCTCTTCTCCAACAGCTGCACCGCCTGCTCAACTCTTCGAAACTCCTCCTTCATGATCTTCTTCGTCTTTTCCGCCAGCACGATATCCACTCCGATATCGAAACACGCGTTGATAAGAGCATCGCTGTTTCTCCAAAGATTGGTCATGTATTTATTCATGTCCTCACTATCGCTGGGGTCTCGGGATTTGATCGCGTCTGCTTTTCTGCTTTGAAGGGAATCCCCGATCCTACATGCTTGTTTTTGGGAGCTTTTCAGGATTCGGGACAGTTCGATTAGGCTATTCAGGCCTTTGATTAGATCGCGACGCTGTGACGCTATGGAATGAACATTTCGAAGAGGTCGTTTGATTGGCGTGCAGTCGTGCTTTGCAGTGTTTTCCAGTCATGTAATTCCACCAGGTCTTATACTGTGGTTCATCACTCTCTGACTAACATACCTGGCTGAAGACCACGAGATCTCATTAGAGAAAGGCGATGACACTTTTATATGAAGCGGAGAAGAATAAAGACGCTAAGGGTGCAGCTATCAAAGCATCTAGGGGAGTGGGGGGTGGTTATGTTGAGGGAAATGAACCCCCCGCGACACAGATCCCTCGTCTGTCGACAATCATACCTCGAGTGTCGGACGATTGTATTCCTGGTACATTCCCTTCTCAAGCTGAAATCACTATGGATGACAATGAAGCCTTGACTTCAGAGCCCAGTGTACAACAAGGACACAAGAGTGGGCCGCATCAGTTGAACGAGCCAGTCCAGAAGAAGAGGATTTGTACGCCGACAACATGGGCCCTGTCGCAGTTCATTATCCGAATCAGGAGGCTGTCCGCTATCCACAAGCCATCAGGCGCCAGATCAGCATCAGGAACATCGCTGTCCAACTTATAGCGATGATAGTCTGGCGTACTCTCCTGGCATTGAAGCATCAGCTCGAGAAACTGGCCACCGAGAAGTTGAATCTCCTTCTGAGATAGCAGCAGCTAGAAGGACAAGTAATGATAACGGTACTTCTGGGCATGTTACTTTTCGTGAGGTGCCAGTATCAGCAGCCTGTTGAGAGGCAGATGGAGCATCCATCTCGATGGGATGCTCCGAGGGATATACCACAAGATCATCGTGTTCCTTCAGCAACCCAGAAGCCTCATCAACACGTCAAGGTCGCAATGTTCCTTTGCCAACACAACCGGAACGTCATAGTACAGCGTCTATGACGCAAGACCATGGCACTGCCTCATCGAGACAGGTGGTCTCTAGCGATACAGACATTCACTACACTACACCCCAACGACACGACCTTGACTTATCGTCCGGGCAGCATCATTACGTCCATTCTTCGATCAAGGGACTCTTTGCCGATCATGCTCATATCCGGCGTCCACGCCCCAGCGCCTCAAGATGTGATGCTGCATGTCACATGTCCTATGAGAGACAAAGAACCGCATCGATGCTGCCGACTCAACAAAACGGGTTACTTACTCGCAGTCCACAGCTTGGCGGTGAAGCTCATCATTCAAGTGCCAATCATCAGATACACGACACCACTGGAAGACGAGATACGCCATCAGCTCAAAGCAGCATACCTGTTCCTGATCTCCCGCTTGTAAAGTGGTACGTCGAAGCACGACTGGCAAAGCGATCCACTTCATACTCCATAGCGACCAAGTCTCTCAAGAAGTCCTAGAGCAGAACCCAGCCAACGAACCCTCCGGAACATATTAATGACCTGCTGAAGTCTGACTTCCATAACTACTACAGCTTAAAAAATGCGGCGAACACCATCTCTTTATGTTGTTATATAGTTCCGCTAAGGTTCAGAAGCGACTACTCAGCTAATAATAATTTCGCCAAGCAAAAGGGTTATTAGTAGTATTAACCTAGATACTTTCATCTTAGGCGAAACCCCGACCAGTCGTCCAAAGAACATCTAGTTAAGCTCCAATACTACTTTAGAGCCTGCGCGATGTATTCGCCGCTTCTTTTTTTGTAGTTTTCTATATATACATACTGTCCTTGCTATTTAGATTATACACACTTTAGACTTTAGCAGGTCACAAACTAATCAAGGATAGACTGGTTAGCACTAGCGAAATGTTGATCTTATGCCTTATTGTCTGATTTATTACACTTTGGAGTATTTATTATCTCTGATTTGTAATTCAGGGGTTAGTAGTTTGGCCAGAAGTTAAGTAGACATTTAGTGCAAAGGATTAGTATCTCTGCCTTGAGAACTATATGGATAATTGCTGGCCATAAGGTTGAACTATATGCTGCCAACACAGATAATAAGGACACGATATTGTCTCAAGAACAAAGGCTTAACTATAAGGTTTATTTATAACGCCTTTTGATAACGGGAAGATGGTTTGCGCAAGAGAATACTCCAAGAAACGGATTTTGACCTGGTTCTGGCTGGTCTGAAAACAAGGGCAGCGGCGTAAGAATCGCAAAGGGCCAGGTTCTGGGCCTCCTTCGAGGGGCACAAACTGGGACTTGGGCGAATTCTATGGCGATCAAATATGCAGAAGGGTTCGGGAGTCCATTATCTTATTCCTCGAGGAACTTTGCTGAATCCAGCAAGTGAATTGTAGCACAATAGCAAGACGCAAAAGATCAACGAGTGATGAACGCAGGACGACAGAGTCTTTTTCTGTTTCTTACCCACGACTAGCATGCTATATTTGCCTCGCCATCAGTTATCTAGACTACTAGGTGCAGAACTTAGCATCATTGATCAACTGATCTGCTGGCGTACCAAATGCCAAAAGTTCAAAGCTATTCTGAAAGCTTCTCCAGTCCAGGCCCAGTCCCAGTTATTCAAACCATTAACTTCATCAGCAATAACAGTAATACAGATTTTTTTTCCCAAGAATAATAGCACAGACTGGGGCATATTGAGATTGCAGAGTGATATTATGATAAAAACTACTAAATTGATGCTGGGATGTGTGTGTTGTATCTTAAGATACGATGAAATGTCCCTCTCCAAGTCCAGGGTAGCTCACTAACTTTGGTTCTCAAGATGAAGATGCCGCTTGCATTTAGTATTAGCCTCTAGTTTCTGTTGCTGTGTCTTTAGGTCTCTACGAGCGCATATATAATTATGTTGGAATGAACCAATAGATGGATGGATTTAGTACACGTATGTATCTGAAGATACCCGGTCTGTTGTTACAGCGCATCCATCTTAAGAGACCGTTCTCAATCAGAACATGGAGTAATTTCTTCCGTGGAGACAATTCACCTCCCGATGAGGCAATTATCATCTCACCGCCTAGAGAAACGAATCGCGCTTTTTTCCAAGGATTCGAACCCATGACCTTCGGCACAGCATACAATCTCCCGACCTTGGTGCATCACAAGATATCAGTGATCCATACAATGGCTTGCAATAACGTCGCATCACACCCAACTACACCCAATAGAGAGACAAACAGGTACCTACTTTCAGATTCCGTAGTCTCCAAGCTGTTTCATTAGATATCCTATAAATACGCTCTCAAGGGATCCAGCAATTTTGTTCTCCTCCTCACGATCCCATCCATAGCATGTAGATAATGCCCTTAGTAAAGCTGTATGTTTATTCGCTGACTCGATATCTGAAAACAATTGCTATTAAGCAAGCTCTAGTGAAATTAGTCTAATTTATCCTATAGACAGAACCCCCGAGTCTCAACCAAGTGTAAATAAAAATATTGGGTATCATAATAATATCTTCCATGCAAGTCGTGTCTATGCGACGCCAACATGCCATCAACAAGCCTCTGTAGCTTCTACACGTGCTCCCCCGGACGCCAAAAAGTCATCAATAAGCATCCGCAACTTCTTCACCTGCTCCACCAGCCTTGCCCGCAAGACCTCCAAGTTCAGACCCCGTGTACTCTGCAAGCACAAAGCCGCGCCCCTGTCTTTCTACTGCTTGGCAATTGTCTCCTCACAAAGCGCAATGTTCCAATGGAATGGTCCACCAATAAACGATTTGTTTCAACGCCCCCAAAGCCCAGAATGTCGTCGACGCCTTCAACCTCACCATACACGCAAGGGCCCAGTCGGCACGCCTTTACTCAAGATGACAATGAGTAATAAGTATTACACTACTATCCCATCACGCATAAGGGATACTGTCGATCGCAAGGGCAACGTCACTCGCCACACGCCGTTCTTCGAGAAAACCCTGTCTCAGGTCCGGGACAAGTTCCTCAAGGGCACTCCAGAAGATGAGATGTGGAACGTGCTCACCATGGTGCAGTGGGTACCTATACCCTACCCACCTTTCCTCAACGACCCCAACTCCCGAATTCTCCACCACGTCGAGCCCTGAAAGATACTGGAGCGGTACCGGCTGTCCATAGTGGCAGAAACATCGAATTCATGCTTCTCAGTGAAGGCGGAAACAATACCGCCTCGCATGTTGATGACTTCGCACCAGTGATCTTTATTACATGCCATCGAGGCCCTGTCGGTATTGGCTGGATCCCACTCACTTGGCAGGACCGGCTAAAGTGGGAACATGATCCAACCTCGGTCAAGCGACAAGCACGCTACTTGGTGCTTCATCCTGGGCAGACAGTGTACATGCCGCCAGGCACCATTCACTCTGTTTTCCGCAAGCACGGAGTGCCGATCCTGATCACGGGAGGCGAGGTACTTACATGGGCCGGGCTAAGACGATGGCCATGCTTACTGAAGCACCAAGAGCTTTGTGAGACAGAGCCAGATGTCACACCAGACAGTGCAGAGAAATGGGTCGCGTGCCTTTTCGAGGTCGTGAGACAACGTCGTGAAGCACAGGACTGGGACATGCTAGATTCGGCTCAAAATGTCTGGATAATCACTTCATCGAGGTGAGCCTTCTGAGAGCGCTATATCTTCAGTGAGCTTTAGTGAGTGACAATTTCTGCAGCCAACCAGAGCATATATCAAGCGCGCAGAGTACAGATCTAAACCCAATGTAGTTAAGCGGGGTATGGCCGCAGCATCGCACCTCAGCTTTTCGACATGGGATTGATTCCTGCTGACGGGAGGAAATCACCCTCACAGAGAGCTTTGGCGAAGACCTTCCAATGTATCACGTTGCCACTTTTAGAACCGGGAGCTTGGATCGGGGTTCCCGGGTGTCAGGACTGCATCGTCTTACTTGGCCAAAAGAGTCTTATGTAGTGATATCAAAGCAATAGCAAATGGAACCTCGAAAAAGAAGCTCACAGTCTCACATGCCCGTCTGTCCATTCATCCATCATAAATCCTAAAAAATCCCTACCTAGGTCTGCGAGGTTCCGCTGTTGAGATACTTAGATAAGCGCAGATTAAACATCAAACCGAACGTCTGATTCTGCATCTCCATCCGCGGCGCCATCTTGAATAATCTCCTCGCCCAAGCTGATGCCGACCCGTGCAACAACACGAGCGTAGCTTCAAGGTTCGCTCAGAGCACCATCTAGAAGAGCCCGAGGACCATTGCAACCTTACCCACGGGACAGACGACGCTACCGGGCGTTACAAACATCAGGTCATCAAAGTGCTCAACCTCCTCTTTAAGTCGGTGCAGGGAAGAAGCATTGGCTTTGGTGCTATTGCCAAGATGCCAGCTGGTTGGATCCGAGAGCCCTGCCGCAAGACCAAACATGCTCTCACCAAGCATAGCTTCTCTCAACTCTGTGTAAACAGCAGGGTCAATACAGCTGGCCTTGCAGCTCTACTTGTAAATAAGATAGCAAGAAGTAGGTATACACCAACCTTGGAATCCCGGCTGCTCCAAGTCCTGCAGAAACAAGGAATAGCAGATCCCTCCCAGTATAGATTACTGTAGTCGATTACCCATGTCGCCAGGGATCATGCGCTTGGTTGCCTTCATCAAGACTTGCCATCTCCCCGATATATCTATAGTCTAAAAAATGACGTTGGTGGCACAAGAGTGGTTAATCACTTTCAGTAGTACAGCGTATGCACTTCATACCACTTGAAAAAATTGCCGTCACTGTTCGTCTTATCCCACCTCAGCAGGTCTGTCGTCTAGCTGTTATCCCAAGGATTTACAGGAGCCAACTCGCCGACAAGCCCTATGAGCAAGTCTCCGACATTGTATCTCCTTTAGGCCTCTTTGTTCTTTTCCCCATCTTTCCGCCGGTCACTATCTCTGGCACGAGGATCTGAGGATCCTTGATGTTGCATAGTGCGCGCTGTCGTTGAGGTACGTTGATGAGTAAACGGTCGACGGGCGCTCACCCAGCCTGTATGCTTGGATAGACCCCACAGATTCATCTTAACTTCTGTGAGACCTCGCGGAGCCTAGGATTCGGTCTCTTCGGCTTGAAACCTCTTCTGATTACGGAACGATCGTTGGTGTGCTTCTGAAGCGGTGTAGCTCTCTTGGATGTATTCTCGCCCCTCGGGTTCTACTCCTCAATATAGAGTAACGCTTAGCTTGTAAATTCTACTTTGACAGTCCCTTTGACTTCTCGGCTGCAGCCAGGATTGCAGTGGTGTATGCTGATCTAACTCCAAGCTTCTCTAACTCGAGTAGTGCCCTGATCGAACATCCTCCCGGTGAAGCAATGTTCTCCCGCAGCACACTGGGGTGATTCCCAGCAGGGACTAATCCTAACATTCCGATCGCACTGTTAACGACCATATTAGTGGCCTCAGGTCGCTTCACGCCTTCGGCAACAGCGGCATCGAGCAGGCCGTCGACAGCCAGCAAGAGTAGCGAACCTGCACAACCGACTAGCACGGCAGATATGTCGAAGTTGCTCTCGGCAATTTGCTGGGCCTCTCCTACCTGGCTGAATACCCAAGTTGCAAGATCCTTGTTCTTATCAGAAAATGATGTCTCATTGACCGTATACAGAGTCACAGCCTGGCGAATCTTAGCGGCCATGTTGGGCATGGCACGGACACCCTGAACGGGGATCGAGTCTCCCTGCTCAAGTGCTAGTCGGTTAAGCTCCTTGATTGAGACACCAGCCATGATACTGATGACCAACCTTCCCCGCAAGGCCTCCTTGATGCCGGGAGCGGCAAAGACCTCCTCTCTCTTAACGGGCTTGAAGGCCAGAATGACCACATCTGCTTGCTCGACAGCGCGGACATTATCCTTTGCGAGGAGCACTTCAAGTTTAGATGAGTGCTGTGACAGCTCTTTTTCGACTCGCTGCTTAGAATCTTCGGTACCGACGGTGGTGATAACGCGCTTGATGGAGTAGGCGTCGGTGCTATTGATCGGCGCAAGGAGACCTGCGGTAAGAGCACCGCCAAGGTTGCCTTGAGAACTGTGTCAGCAAGTTGTACTTAGGCCGTGATATGGGGAGACTTACCGCAGCCGAGCAGGGCCACTGTTAGAGGGTTTGGGTTGGTCATGGTGCTGATGTGGTCTGGTATTTGCTCTTGAATATGTATAGGTAACAACTAAACCGAGTGTTTGAGGCAGGAACTAGTCGAATGATATTGTATTTATCAATGTATTCTGGAGTCGGCTCTCCATCATTTCCCCCCACCTACATGATGTAGACAAAGTCCGGCCCGAGAGTCGTCTGCCGGCCCGAGACTGCGGAACCACTATCCGTTGACTATGGCGCTGCAGTCAGCGGGAGTCAGTGCCGTCGACGATAGAGATCCGCCTTGGCTCTAGATACCGACTCTTCTCCGTCGAGGGACAGCAATGCTTCGCCAGTCTGGGAACAGATCCCTATCACCCTCAGAATCAACATCCGGGCTACGAGTTTTCTGCGCAGCCAAGAAATTCCGGAGAACCAACATCATAATGATAGAGTCAAGAGTAGCTACGGGTTACTTTGAGTTCTCAGATCGAGAAGCCATTGTCGACAAATATGCATCCTTATGTCCTTTTGCGATACTGCGACTTGTTCCGATATACGGCGATTTTTTAAGACTGCTTGGTCTTGGGCAATATTGTGGTGACCTATGTTGTGAGTGATAGAGTTTACAGCTTCCTTAGTTATAATATTTGCCGACAGTCAACGGGATATGTGGTTGCTTAGAATACAGACTTTCCGTTTTGTCGAGAGAAAGCGCTCCTCTAAAATGAGAACTATGTTCGCACCAGAAGACATGAAGGCAAGGCGAAATTGGATATGATCAAGATGGTAAACTATTTAGTTTATAAGTTTCACTTTTATCTAGTACTAGCTCCATATAGGTATGCTTTATGCCTCTCAAGATGCACAATGCCGAACAAGTACGGGTCCAGTGCCAAATATCTGGAATCGCGATACGCTAGTTTTGTCTCTTGGATCACGAGGTCCACTGGTCTTAGCGTTGTATAGTGCTTGATATCTTCCACTACTCGGGAATATGACAGGCACTCAATGTGGTGCTGCCGGATACGAAAGAGTCCTTGATACATCGAATGCTCGAGAACCGAAGCAGCACATTGACCGAGTTGGCTTTGCTAAAATGGATGTTAGTCGCTATTCCGGGTAGAGAGCAAATGAGATTCAGTGACAACACTTACTCGTTTGTGCCCGAAGATCGAGCACCTCCGAAGGGGTTGGCACCGATGACGGCTCCAGTGCACTTGTCATTGATGACCAGCATGCCGACCGAGTCCCTTAGTCTGTTGGAGGCGGTTTGAACAGCATATCTATCACGAGAAAATACGGCGCCTGCCAGCCCATACTCAGTGGTCCTATCAATAAGGTCACAAACATCCTCAAAGCCAGTTGGCGAGGTTTCGTCGTAGGTTTGGACAGCAAACAAAGGGCCGAATATCTCCTTGGTCATGAGGTCGCTCTCACCACCTTGGTCGGACGAGTTAACTTCGAAGATGGCAGGCTGGAGGAAGAATCCCTTACTCCCGTCCTGCTTGCCGCCGTAAATGAGCTCATGACCGTCCTTTTTTGCCTGCTGAATGAATTCACCAAAGCGATTGAATGCCGCCTCGGACACGATGGGACCTAAGGGGTGATGGATTTGTTTGACATCATCACCGTGTGTGAACTTGGCGGCTTCTCTCAACAAAGATTTCTTCAAGTCACCCTTCTCCCAAAGGGATTTGGGAACGAAAAGGCGTGACAAAGCACTGCACTTTTGACCTTGGAACTCATAAGCTGACCGGACAGCGGCCGACGCTAGCCAGTCAACATCGTCGAAGGAATTGTGGACAAGGTGAAAGTTCTTGCCACCGCTCTCTCCCACGATGCGGGGGAACGTCTTGTAAGTAGCGGTGTTAGTGCCGATTTGGGAGGTCAAGCTTCTCAAGACGGCTGAGGAGCCGGTGTAGTGAAGTCCAGAGAAGTCCCGGCTAGCGAGCGCGGGCTCCACCACAATCTTGGGATCAGCTACTGGTAGGAACTGGACAACACCATTGGGAAGCCCAGCCTCTTCAAAAATCTGGTAGAGAAGGTAGTTGGACAAGATGGCCATAGGAGACGGCTTCCAGAGTATCACATTGCCTAGGATGGCCGGCGTGAAAGCAATGTGTGCACCCAGGGCGGTGAAGTTGAATGGCGAGATAGCAAGCACGAAGCCTTCTAGAGGACGGTAGTCCAGGCTACTGTATGCTGAGTCGGTTTGTTTGGGAGGCTGCTGCTGGTAGAGCTGGTGACAGAAATAAACGTGGAAGTTAAGGGTGTCGATAACCTCAGCGATGCAATCATCCTCAGCCTGTCCGCACGTCTTGCCTTGTCCAATCATGGTAGCGGCCATGAGCTTCCATCGGTATTTGCCCTCGACAAGTTGGGCCGCGCGCTTGTAAACGGCCGCTCGCTGGCTGAAGGGTAGGTTGGCCCATTTCTTCCTGGCTGCAAGAGCTCCAGCGATAGCCTTCTCAACGATTTCTCGGTCGACTTCGTGGTACTCTGCCAAAGGAGAACTTCGGTTCCAAGGGTTGACTTGGGAGCTCTTACGGCCGGAGTAGATTCTCTCGCCGTTGATGATACTTGGAATTTCAAAGATCGTCTTTTCCGCTTCCACTAGGGCTTCCTTCAAGAGCTTGCGCTCCTCGGAGCCCGGGGCATATGAAAACTGAACGAGAGATCTGTCAGCGATGATATCATAATAAGACAAGCTGATGGAGGGAACTCACACCTCCAGCGTTAGCTGGCTCTGGGTAAGGAAAAGTAGACATTGTCCGTACTGTCTGACCTTTTTGTTTTGATGATAGGGTATAATAGCTGAATCGACCACGAATTGGCTGTGGCTTTTGGAGTGGTCTTAATATCAACCTTGTCTAAATAACACGGATGGCACATCGTTTCTACTGGTGACCTCGGGCCGGACTGGTAATATAACCGGAGACAAGGAAATCAATACGGCGCTGGCATCCGGTCCGAGAACTCGGATGATCTACCATTAAAGTCGGATGTAGGCTCCGCGTGAATTAAAGTTTCCCCGCATGTATTAGGCACCATCCTCTCGAATCCAGATTGCTCTCTCCACATCCGCTCAACGGTCATACGACCCAAAGTGAGTTTGGGCGGTTAGCAGATAATTCCAATCATTCTTCGTTGGAGCCGGTGGAGGCCATATTGACGTCAGACCTAAGCTTTGGAGGAGTAAGTAAACGAATCTATGTGTAAAGGTGATTTCCTAGGCTAGCCCGCGTTATCAGCAACTTATTTGTTCGGAAGAGGGTTGCAGATTCCGACACCAACTACAGTATCTTTTGTGATATCCATAACCATAGGCCAGTTTCAATTTCTAATTCGGAAGATGCTCGTCCACTTGTAGATGGTTCACGCCGTGATTGACAAACAATTTGACACTCTCAAGATCACGCATCTAAGATAGTAGAAGACTAGATAGCAGCTTTGGTGCTCTCAGATTGTTATTGTTATTGGAAACAAGCTAATTATCTCCTACGAATGACCGCATAGCTGCTTCACGGGTGTTGGTAACCCGTTAAACTTCAAAGCTTGTTAACCTCATAGCTTGGAGTGCGTTGTGTTATTGATCAGGTAGCCCCCAACGATCTTGAAGTACGCCAAATCCGTCTTGGTCCTAATATCGCCATATTTCGCCTTATTGGCACCGATGGCTGGGTTGGGGACATGGGTATCCCAGAAATATTTCTCGCTCTCGTAAACTGCCACTGACCCGACTCGATCTGCGTTCATAGGGTCTTTAGCGACGGTGTATACAAATGTTCCGGGATCAGTTGGGAAGATGGCAGAGGTCAAATCTTGCCAGCCGTCAAGAGCACCAGCACGGGTGTTTTCCTTATAGTCGAATGTGGCGATCAAGACGAACGGGTCGGTGATGTTGCTTGTTTCCGGTCGAGTGAAAGAGGAGGTAGCCTTGAAAACTGACACGCTGGCTGGGATCTCCAACAAGGCACCGGCTGATAGGAGACTCGTCAGGTCGGCAACGGCCTTTGACCCGAAGTGCGAGTTGTATGCAGCTTGATCAGTGTACCTGTCAAACATTAGACTTCCGTACTCATGATACTGAGAAGATACTGGGAAAACAGACTCTTCGATGACATAACATGACCTGTCGTCGGATTCATCGCGGGGGATGGTGATTGCGTATTTGGTAACGCCAGGCTGCTGTTGTGCGAACTGGGCAGCCCTGGACAGGCCATTCACAACCACTTGTCTAGCATCTTTACTGATTGCCACATAGCGGCTGACGACAATGGTTGGAGACATGATATTGATGCAGCTTTAACAATGATGAAGAGTTGAACGAGGAACAAAGAGAATGGGGATAGTAATGTGTATTAAAATAAGATAGACAGCAAGTACTGGTAGAGTTGTATCAGGGATTAGTACAATGAAATGAGACACGGATTTCCATCCGACTTAACGGAAGTTCAATCCGAGATCTCGATCTACATTCGCGAAATGTGAGAAGATACGGTTTACCCGACCAGAGACAGATAGCATTTATATTAAGCCGTACAACCAGAAAGCGATCTCATCCACACAACGTCACCAAAGCGGGCGAGGTGAGGACCGGTCTTTGTTCTTGCGATAGCAAAAGTCTGTAAATACATTTGAGAATATAAAACCATGGTATCTAGTGGCCTGTGAGTAGAATGATCTACTAGGACTACGATCACTTTGTCCGTCTCAAATGAGATCCTGCACAGGTGCCTCAAGGGAGTATTTGAATAAGTAGCAAAATATCATGTTCAGAGCGTATTAAAAGGCCATGTCCTGTGTTGTGGTCAACAGTAACCTCGGGAATCTTCTCTGAAGAATATTGCACCATTGCACCATTGCGTGACATAATGTGTAGTTACTGGGCTTCTATGTGCTACACCGAAGAGGTTGTTTGGGTCCATCCTGTTGACCTCTCAAGAAATACATGATCAACTAATGTCAACACCTAGGCTTGCGATGTCTTCTTCCCCCTTCTAATGCCGATGAGGTGGCCCATTTCCTCCCAGAAGCCGGTCGGTGGCTCAGTAAGAGAGTTCTCGTAGGCATCAATTTCAGGCCGCTCCCAAACCAGATCAACCTCAATGGGCCTGACATAGCGAGTCCTTTTGACAAGCTTCCATCCAACAAACAAGACAACCGCCAAAATCTGCATAGAATAGTTTTGGAAAAATATTTCGGTGCTCCAAGTAGGTCTGAAAGCATAGTACCCATATGTCAGGATGATGAGGGTCTGTACAGCCAAGGCGATGTACGCGCCGTAGGGTTGAAAGTATCCGTAGTAGGGCCGCGTTTTACGGTCAACTCCTTGAGCCACGCACGCCTTATAGTAGTTGATGAAAGTGATAGAAATAACAAGGAAATTGATAAGAGCTCCACCGGTGACGATGCTCACAAGCCAGTTCAAAACCTCAGCGGATCCGTTCGCGCATTGAAGGAAGCTAAGAAACGGGAAAAGCATGGTGACGCAGAAACACCATACGGGAATTCCTCGACGATTGCAGTAGGTAAGAAATCGAGGGGCGCGTCCGGCAAGGGCTAGTGAATAGAGGGCCCGGGTAGCAGCATATGTATAGGTGTTGCCGGCAGAAAAGATGGAGGTAAGGATCAGGAAGTTGACAACATGGGGCAAACCACTGATACCTAGGTTCTGCATCGCAATAACGTACGGAGAGGAGGCTGCGTTTCCGGTGCCACCACTTCCAAAGTAGATCTCGGTTAATTTAGGGTCATCGTGCGCAGACGAGATGCCCACAGCCAGGGCGCCAAAGACGAAAAAGATGCAGAACCGATAGTACACAGTTTTGAATGCGTTTCGGATGTAAATGCTTGGGCGTTGGGCTTCAGCTGACACCATTGAGATATACTCGGGAACGACAATCGTAAACCCAGCGCTGAACAAAGCAGCTAGGAATCCTTCGAAGTGTCCCTTGGGTCCAGTACTCAGGTACGTGGAGAAGCTTCCACTTGCAAAGTGTCGGAACCCGTAGGCATCATGGGCAGGATTGCCGCCGCACATAGTAACGAAGGTGAACGCAAACAGGATGAAGATCAAGACGATCTTGCCTCCTGAGAGCCAAAATTCGAACTCGCCGTAGAATCCAACCGCCAGAACGTTTATAAACCTAGAGAGGAAAGTCAGCCGAATACTCCCAGTCACCGTAGGATCGACTTACGCGTATGCGGCAATAACTGCAGCGCAAACACCAGCTGTAGGTCCTGGGTTGAGAGTGTCGGGGTCCCAAAAAGCAATCACGGAGGTCAAGGCTGTGATCTCGAAAGGAATGAGAAGAGCCTCATAGAGGAAGAAGTTCCATCCAGCCATGAAGCCCAGGGCATCATCGACCCAGTTGCCAGCGAGACGAATGAAGCCGCCTGCAACAGGCATATAGGTAGACATTTCCGCAATCGAGTTGTTCACGAGGGCAAGAATGAGAGAATAGAAGATGTAGCAGATAAGGAGATTACCAGCGCCGCCCTTTGCAAGGCCGCCACCGATACTGATGAAAAGGGCCGTTCCGATCGAGCCACCAGCGGCAATGAGCTGGATTTGACGATTGTTTAGGCGCCGATGAAGGGTACCTGTGGGGACGGTATCTTCTTCAGGTTGGTACCTTATACTGCTGGAGTCGCCAGCCTGAGGCAGACTAGGTGACTGTTTCTCCTTGATGGACGACATGGTGTTGACGAAAATGCCTCGATACCTCAATAAAGAAGCAAACCAAGAAGGAAGGAAATAGGTAGAGAGAAGAGTATGTGATTGTCAATTACAGAGGCATACTTCCCTTAAATAGTGTTCCATAGGGCGATGATAACCGCTGCTGGTGTCTTATCTTTGGCCTACTTCCCTGGTCAAGGATTGTGGTATCATGTTGAATCTTAGCGTTATGGGGAGTTGCACCGACTGGCTATGAGAAGACCCAGGCGGTGGCCCGTATCAGGCCGTAAACTTGAGTCACGTCATGATATGGGGTAGAGAGTCTGGGGTATGGGGTACGGGGTATGAGGGCTTGGGAAATGATCATGAGGTGGGGATTAAGGATGACTACACTAAGTTTAACCTAACCGGATAGAGATAGGGGAAACTTGAGCTTGGTTTGTGCAAGTTGGCCGAGATGTCCAATCCTACAAAACTCGGATCAGCGTTCCGAGCCAATCCGTGCTTCACTTTTGGCCCTTTGATAAGAGTAAGAGCTCTAACGCCAATGGCTATCTCCTGCAATGGCTATCTTTCTAGCCTCTAAAATGCAACCCTCCAAGTCTTGCGCCCTCAACTGCAGGGACAGCTAGCCGCTTAGCGCAGAGGCAGGACCTTTTCGCTCCAGCATTCATGATTCTCCTCAAACACAATAGACACAGCAGCAACCCTTCCTCAAGTCTCGACCATGGCTCCACAGTATAAACCCTGTTGAGTCATTTACTGTTATGCGCTACGCTAATGGCCAGCGTCATACCACGGAATCGCTATCCGTGATACTAGATAGACGGCTGGTTTCTAGTCTGGGCCTGGTTTCCACTTGGATATAGAGGCAGATATTCCGATTTATGCATTCATTGCATAGTTAACCGGGCTTGGGGATTGACCACACTTCTCATGGCCGTGGTCCGGCGATACTGGCGTAGCGCGCCAAGGGGGACGATTACGCGAGACAGCTTCAGCTAACTCGGTGAGGCATCTACCAAGTTCTCTCGGTGCTGATTAATCTCTCGAGATAAGTCTGATATGAAAAGATACAGAAGCTTGGGGCTTTCCAACTGTCAAGAGTGTAAATTCTTTCTCTATGCCCGCCACTCGTTGCTGTGTCAAGACACATCCGCAGGTGTTTCATACAGCCATAGGTTATTATCTTGGGGGCAATATAGAGGTCCGCTTGCATACAAGCTGGAAAGACTGATCAGCGTTGCACGGAAGTCGCATCCGACTGGGCCGTCTCATGCCGCCTGCATACAATCGGGATCAACTTATATACCAGTTATAGTTTCCTCAATTCATGATTTCCTTCTTATATACGCAATATTTCTTATTTTGCATGTTGACTCAATCAACCTCTCCTATATCACATATCCACAAACGGAAAAAATAACGCACCCCAGATCACAAACACAATCAGCCAGCATGGCGCCCACAGTCAGACAATATCACCTCTACCCAACAGACCATATTCCCAACTCGCCTCGACCCCTGCTTCACTATAAGAATGTTCTAGCCACTAAGCTTGGCAAAGCATATTGTGACCCTGTTGAGGTCTGGGATATGTTCACCAAGAACGAATGGAACGTGGCTTGGATATTCCGGTATAGTGATACGCAGCTATCCCATTTTCACTCTGAAGCTCATGAGTCTATGGCTGTTCTGTCTGGAACTGCTTTGATTCGGTTCGGTGTTGCCGATCTATCAGATAACCTACATCAAAACACATATGGTTCGGCCTGGGAAAGTGGTGGTATTACACTAGAAGCAGAGGCTGGCGATATCTTTATTATACCTGCCGGTATTGCGCATAAGACATATAGTACCAAGCCTAAAGCCTCTTTCAAGCTTCTATCTCCTGGAAGTGCTCATGGCATTGAGGCCGACGACCCCAGGAAAAGTCTTTCTGAACTCGATATTGATGGCTATACTATGATGGGCGCATATAATGGGGGCGATTGGGATTTTGTCCAGAAAGGGGGCGTTTTTGAAGAGTCATGGGTTGTCCCTAAGCCGACGCTTGACCCTGTCTTTGGTGACGGGGAACAAGGGTTAGTCAAAGCATGGGCAGGCAATGGACAGACTGCGCTTGGCCGCAAGGTCTCTTTCAAGGATGGCATCGCCACACACGCTCCGTTGGCTCCAATCTCTAAACTCTAACTGGCGGAAATTTGAGGGTTATGTAGAAGAATAATATCACATATGAATGACACATCCTCTTACTGTCTTTGAGAAAAGGCAAAGGTCGGGAATTTGACCGAATCCCCCAACATCAATCGTTGAGTTTCTAGCCAGTACTTGATCAGCACAGCGACGTCCAGCCACGAGTTAATTGTACCGACCAGGTTGCCAGTAGCGAGTCACATAGAAGGATTAGAAGAATTACAATTCTATCTCATTGTACCCATAAGTCAAGAAGTCCATCCATGGTAAGGGAATCAGCCAACCCTTCAATTCGAGAATCTGGATAGAAATTCCCAGGACTCCACCCCTCGAAGGACGTCCCGCCAGGACTAGGCAAGCCAAACTGAGTTGCAAAGGTAACTTCACCAGGCTGATTGGAGGCCATTGCATCGGTGACATTCTCGTTATTGGCATTGACCTCTGGGTGGAACTGCCTTCGTAAAGAGTAGGCCAACTCTTCCACCTCGGCTTTTCGTGAGCTGGCTTGAAGATTCCCTGCCATAATCATGGTGTCAAAAACGTCGAGTAAAACTGCAAGAGACACCTCATGCATAGCATGCTTAGCTTCGACCTCAGAGGCCATCACCAAGACGAAAGCGGCTGAGTAGGCTGCCTCGAGGTCAAAAGGAAGGAGGATGTCTGGAAGAAAACGGGGAATCAGCCAGTGGAAGACGACGAGGTTGGCGAATGCCCTACCTAAGAGTCCGTGTCGCTTCAATTGAGACAGTATGTTTGCCATTTGAACAGCGGAATTGGTCACAACTTGGATGAGGTCTCTGATCGAAGAAGGAAGGGTGAATTCGCCAGCTGTACCCGAGCCTAGGAGCTTTTGCTTGTACAGGTGAAACAAAAGCGGTCTTATTGTGAGGACAATGCACTACAGAAGATAAGCCAGTCATCTATGTCGAGGCTGTTAGGCGACACTAACCTGATTATACTGCAGATTGAGGTGGGCCGACACGCGGGAGATTTCACCAATTAACCGGCCAGAAAATGCGGACAGGTCTTCACTTAGCTCGGCTATGCCTTTGAGGGCTTTGCGTATCGTCGCTAAGAAACTTTCTTTGAGTTTTGCTTTCGGTCCGTATACAGCTAGCCTGGGTTAGTCTCACTGTTTCGCGATTATTAAATTCTTTTGGGTGGACCTACTGATAGTAATAGAGCCCAGAAGTTGTGAAATCTTGACGTGAATCGCAAGGGCCGATGAATGAATGTCATTCTCAGATATCTGCGGTGCTAAGGCACTGATATCGTCATCATGGATACCGTTTGTTATACCCATTAAGGATGAAAGCCTCTGGTCAAGAGTGTAGACGGTCCACCAAAGGAGGCGACCATGTTGGGCGAGTCGATCACCGACTGATGCAGGTTGCATGTCTGTATGAAGCCCATGCGACTGGGCCATTCTCACAGCTTGGCCAATCTGCTTAGGTTTAAGAAGGAGTACCCAGTCAACTTGCACTGACGTTCACTTACGTATGAGTGTGCAGCAACGCGATGGTCAACACAGTGTAGGTAGAGCGCAATACAACAAAAGATCTCGGTAGCCTTGACAGGATCACGAGAGAGATATGTGACGTCCGGCATCTGATTCATAGCACGTGAGAAGAGGTCCGCGCCTGCCGGTCCAATGCTTGGTTGCTGCCCGGCAAATGACTTTCCAAAGGCCATGATGACCAGGTAGTGTATATACCACAGATTATGCGTCCTGGCAACCCCTAGGGGATCCTGGTAAAAGAGATGAAGGTTATGCACAAAATCCGTCTCTTCGAAAAGATGGAGGAGAGGATGGGTCCGGAACTTAACAGTCTGGAGGTAATAGAGAGCGAGTTCTAGGGAGGGAAGGCTGGTTATCTGGATAGCACTGAGATCTATCTGGCGTTCCGGGATGCTATAGGTTTGCCCATCTACGTGCATCTGCATCGACGCCGCCGGGGAACCTGAGAGCCCGGCACTTTGTGAGGCCATCTGAAGGACCTGGTAGCTGAAGGACCATGTCGACGAGTGTCCCAGGTATCTCAGTCTCCCCGAGTAGTCGGACATGTAGCTCGGCTGCTCAGGCACGAGCAGGTTGGAAACGTCGGCATCATCAGAGCCGGCAGCTTCGCCATGCTGAAGCGTCACCGCGGAAGGCTGAGGCAGCGCCTGGTCATGGTCTTGGTGTTGATCTGTGTCTTGTCCTTGACAAGGTGCATGTGGAGAGCCTTGTGAACTGCCGTCACTTGCATGGGGGAGAGGCAAACAATTGATTTGCTCATTGGGATGTTCAGACACAGACAGGGAGGAGATTGGTTGAGGGGAATCTTTGGGTGGAGAAGCGGATTTGTTCTGCTTTCTCTCAAAGCTGTCGAGCCTTTTGCGGAGGTTGGAGAGAGATCTGCAGAGTATGGTAAGCATAAGAAAAGGGGCAGGGCAACAGGCTGGAGGTTCCGACCTTTCCGATACAAGAATGTTCCGCTCTTCGGATACGAAATTGCACCTGGAACCCCTATTGATGCAAGCTTTGCAGGGTTGTGACCCGGAACATTTGATCTTATGTTGGCGGCATCGCTGGCACGCATTGGACACCCTCTTATGACGACCAGATATATTCTGCTGTCGCTGCATTAGAGAATGGGCGGTAAGAGAACGTGTGTGAGACAAGTAATGAGTTTCAGTGAATCGATGAGAAAGTGTGACTAGGGAAGAGTGATGATGCTATGGCCACTTCTCTCCAGACATCCCCCTCCCCCAAGATAAGAGTGGCTTGCTTCTACATGGATGCCCCCTCTATGGACATAAACAGCTGGCGAATCGGAGGGGGCACATTTCCGATATTCGTGCGGGGTAGACCGGGGATTAGAATTGCTAGCTCGACACGCTAAGCAAAGATTGCAGCTGGTCAGACTTGGAATGACGCTATGGAAAGCATCAAGATAAGACGGGGCTTCCGGTGTCTTTCTTCCACCTGGGGTAAAGCCCTGCGCAATTGCGATTGGGCAAAAGGGTCTTACGTTCCGTTCTCCAACGTGAGATAAGAGATAAGAGATGGGGGAGAGTGTACACTGAGTGCCGGAGGATGTCAGCTAGCACGACCGAGTAAGTAAACTATGGAGTGAAATTAAGCCTGGCGATACGTTTTGCTGTCACAATTGAGATGCCGAGTGACTTTTCACTGCAGGTTCGTTGGTGAAAGTCAGCCGAGTTCAAAGTAACCGAGAGGAAGCCAAGGGTTTGTTCACCATCCCTTTGGTGGCACAAGCCTTCGCTGAGTCAATTGATTTGTTTGCACCCCTTTCGTTTTGACCGCCCTGGAGGCTTGTGCCACTCAATGGGGATATTTTAAGCTCGCGGCCCGTATTGTGTGTGTTCACTAAAGGTGAGCAACACCCTCCCAGAGCGATCCAGAGGGGATAAGGGACCTTCTGGAACCACGGATGTATGAACCGACATGGGGTAACCTCGTGATCATCAACTCTATCTTCAAAGTAATCATTCCCACTGGCAGCATGATCGGATGAATTTCCGACATGGCAATAAGCAACCCATTTGTGTGAGATAAAGGAAGCCTTTCGACTTCTGCTGTTCAGCCAAGTCGTAACTCATCTCTCAACAATGAAGGCTGAGCAACTCCCTGAACGAACTCCTAGCACCGAGTATCTGGCAAACATGACACTGTCCAATCACCACACACCATCAAAGCTCGGCGCAGACCGTCCAATTGACTCTGCTAAACCGCTTAAGTTGATCTACATCGGCGCAGGGGTGTCAGGCATTGTGGCCTCTATTCTCTTCCGCAAGGCCATTCCCTCGCTAGACCTAGTCATCTATGACAAGAATCCAGAAATTGGTGGTACCTGGTATGAGAATAAGTATGCATCGCCTATAGCATGACACAATTTACGAAGAATATTATGCTAATTCGAAACTTGAAGGTACCCCGGCTGCGCTTGCGACATCCCGTCCCATGCCTACCAATTGAGCTTTGAGTCGTCAACGGATTGGAGCCACTTTTATGCCGGCGCCTCAGAGATCCTTGATTATTGGAAGAGGGTAGCGGACAAGTATAAGGTCAGAGACAACGTCCGTCTGAACCACAAGTGCCTTCAGGCTACCTGGGACGAGTCCCGAGCCAAGTGGAAAGTCCGCCTTGAGAGGACTGACGTTGACCCACCCGTCATTATTGAGGATGAGTGTGACGTCTTCGTCACCGGCACCGGACTGTTGAACGAGTGGAAGTGGCCTGCCATTCCAGGTCTGCACGACTTCAAGGGCACTATCCTCCATACAGCCAATTGGCAGGACAACTTCACTGCCGATGTAAGTTCTCAGAATCAAGCCAGCGCCACCGCAAGTTGCTAATAAGTATTTAATAGGATAAGAGAGTCGCTGTTATTGGAGCCGGAAGCAGCGGCATCCAAGTTGTCCCCGCCCTAGTCAACAAAGTCAAGGCTATCGACCACTACGTGCGTGGCAAGACTTGGATCGCAACCCAAGGTAGCGAGGATATGCTCAAGAAGGAGCTTGAAGAGGAGGGCCAGTCCCAGACTTCCAGCAATGTGGCCTATGGCATGGATCAGAAGAAGATGTGGAGAAATGACCCTGAAGCCTATATCGCATACAGGAAACAGCTCGAGTTCCGTCTTCAGGGCAGCCACCAGATCTCATACCTAGGCAGCGCTCGTCATAACCAGGCTCACGCCAGCTACACCGCTTACATGAGAGAGAAGCTGAAGACCAAACCCGAGCTCTTCGACACGCTGCTACCTGACTTCCCCCCTCTCTGCAAGAGGTTGACGCCTGGGCCGGGATATCTGGAAGCCCTTACCCAGCCTCACGTGTCAACTATCACATCTCCCATCTCGTACATTGACCCTAGCGGAATTGTCACCCAGGATGGAACTAGGCGGCCCGTTGATGCCATCGTCTGCGCCACTGGATTTCAGACGGGTCCGGACTCGGGATTCCCCATTTACGGTCGAGACGGGGTGAACCTGCGGAGAAAGCATGGCATTCACCCAAAGTCCTACCTCGGCCTCGCCACAGACAACTTTCCCAATTTCTTTCAGTCCCTGGGACCCAACACATTCCCTGGTACGGGCAACTTGCTCATCATGATCGAGCACGCTCATCATTACATAGCCAAGGTCCTGCAGCGTCTGGCCTATGGCCAGGTGCGGACAATTGAGCCTAAGCGCAAGCAGGTCGACAACTTCACCAACTTCTGTAATCAGTATTTTGACAGGACTGTGTACACTGAAAAGTGCGAAAGCTGGTACAAGGCTCCGCCTCGGAGCCCTGGCGACAAGGAGCGTATCACGGCGCTGTGGCCTGGAAGCAGTGTCCATGCTATCCGCGCCCTATCTGAAGTCCGATGGGATGACTACGACATCGAGTACGAGGATGATGATGATTTTGGGTGGTTTGGCAATGGTTCCACTCTTGGTGAGACTGATCCTACTCTGGATAAGAACCTCGAGGATCTCACTTGGTATATCAACAAGACCGACTTTCTCCATAACCCTCTTCCTGTTGTTGCAAGGGACATAAAGTTATAGATAGACTAGAGAATAGTAGAATAGTGCATTTAAAATTGACCAGAATGTTATTCAATCGTTTCATGCCGCCTGCAATCCAGGTGATAAAAACATGGATATAGGCATAGAAATCCAACAAGTATCACACCCATACCTACATGGGGCATAGAACTTTTGCCAAAGCTACAACCACCTAGGATTACATTGAGCTGCTATGTTTCTGCATTGGAGATAATAGGTAAGTGCTCAGTTTAATTAGTTCTATCTAGGGTAGCTGAGCCTAATTAATTTACTTAAATTTTTTTATAAAATAGCTATAATAAGATAAAAGAAATAGCTAAAAATTAAATTCTTTAAATCTAAAATAATATTTAATTATTTTTATTACTCTTTAGTTATTTAATAATTAAAGATTTAAAATTTAGCTAGAACACCTGCAAGTAAGTACCCAGCTAATAATTAAACAGGGGCTATATTGTATGTCATTAATACAGCAACATTTCACAGTGGCCTCTATTCATCTTCTCTGTCTCTCAGACGTTATCACCCACTTCCCACACAAGAAAGTCGAAGCGATCGAGTGAACCCAACGCCATTGTGGTTATCCTGAGCATCGGAGCCACTGCCTCCTATCACAACCAATCAAACAGGGGTTTTCTCCGATTAGACTTCCGGTCCAATCAAGCTCCCCTCTTTTCCGAGATCTCCCACGCACAACAACACTTTAGGCCCAAAAGTTTACTATCAAGCTTTGATCCGGTGTCACTCAAAAACCTGGGTTTGGGGTAGGTAGCTCGAAAATCAGTTCTTGGTGAGCAAGTAGGCTCGTAATGATTGTAAGTCGGATAGTCCGTGGTCCTGCGTTGACCAGCCACGACACCAGCAGGCACGAGATCTTTACCATTGGAGTTTCAGGCCTTTGATTGTTCGAATTAGACTGAATTAAAATGCGCGTGGCCTTTTTAGGATGCGGTTTGTTCTCTCACGCCTGGAACAGAGACAAGAAATGATAGATAGCTGACTTGCGATGGCACCGCTATAGGCCAAATGGGCAGAGCCATGGCGTCGGCACTTCTGCAAAGCCGCAAGACCGATACCGTCCAACACTTGGTATTAAGTGTCAAAAGCCAAAAGTCTCAACTGGAACTCCAGAACCAATTCGCCGAATACCATGAGCAGGTCAAAGTTCTCCGAGGCCAGAACGTACAAGTTGCTCAAGAGGCCGACACCATCATTCTAGCTCACATGCCGTTCATGGTTAAAGATATCTTGTCGGAGAAAGGTATGCGAGATGCATTCAAGGGGAAGCTGGTTATTAGCATCCTTGCCGGAATTAACGCCAAGAAAATACAAGGGGCTCTCGGTATCCCAGATGGACAGCAAGAATATGACCTTATCAGAGTCATGCCGAACCTCGCTACGTCGCTGAGGGAGTCAATGACCGTGGTTAAGGAGCCCGGGCCTGATGCATCACCAGAAAGTCTGGAAAAGGCCACCAAGATTCTCGAACAGTTCGGCTCGACAGTCACGGTACCTGATGAAACATATCATGCGGCTGGTATTCTGACGGGGGCCTATTTCGCCCTCACTAGCATTGCGCTGGACGGAATGGCGGATGCTGCTTTGGCTGCAGGCATGACTCAACCTCTGGTTAACGCGGTGACCATTCAGTGCCTCGAGGGATGGGTCAAGCTCCTGGAACAGGGCAAAACACCAACCGACATTCGAGAGTTTTTGGCAGCGCCTGAAGGAGCAAGCTACCAGGGAATCGCGACTCTCGATAGAGCTAACACTCAAGTGGCTTTCTCAGAGGCTTTTGAACGTGCTACGGACAGGGCGAAGGAGCTTGAGGAACGTGGAAACTAGTCTGTGAGGGATTGGCATAGGACTATTAAGTTTTAAACGTCAGGAAAAAATGTAAACAGCTAGCCTGGCCATCGAGGTTAATGAATCTGATGCTCGGCAACGATTATATAATTCAGCAGGGACAGAGCTCTATCCTACTGCCGATGACCGACACTTGAGACAAAGCCGGCTCCTCGTTCTTTGTAAATGAAAGCCGTTCATAATACTTGTAGAATAAGTATAAAGAGAGGAAACGAAGTGTCGAGCCTAGAATACGACGAGATATCTGTAGAACTTGGTGATAGATAGATCATGTTCAATAGACAATACTCCCCCCAAAACAGGTGGGACAGAGCTTTATCTACTTTGTAATCTTTGTCACCGGTTCTGTACTGAAACTAATATGACTTCCCTTTCATTTCAAAGGTAGGATGGAATGTGTTTTCTTATAAGAACAAACTTCTATTACTCCTATGTATGTGCACTCAGACACAACGGGCACCGTCGACAAGAACCTCGATCCCGCTAATGATTGAGCTTGCAGGTTCAGCCAAGAAGAGGGCAACATTGGCCACATCAGAAGGCTCGACGAGGCGTCCGATAGGAATGGCGGCACACTTCGCCTTGATGATGTCCTCAGGGACAGGGCCGTCGGCGATACCGGCGAACTTGTTCAGAAGAGGGGTGTTGCCAGAGGTAGGGCAGATGGCGTTAAAGCGGAGCTGGTCCTTGGCAAACTCGAGGGCCATAGACTTTGTAGCAGACGAGACACCGGCCTTGGTAGCGTTGTACCAAGTCTGGGTGGCACCGGGTCGGATAGCGTTTTCGCTCGAGATAACGACTGTAGAGCCAGGGCCGTTCTTCTTCATCTCGGGAATGAGGATCTTGGAAGCGAGGTAGACGCTCTTGACGTTGACATCAAAGAGGCGAACAAACTCTTCGGTGGTGACCTCGATACCGGACTTGTTGGGGTATGACCAGCCGGCGTTGTGGACGACGATCGAGGGAGCGGCACCGAACTTGGCCTTGGACGTCTCGAGCTGAAAAAGAGATGGCAATTAGCAGCTGAACAGCTGTACCACAATCGATTCATTAGTCCACTTACAGCCTTCTGCCAGCTGGCTTCCTCGGCAACGTTGGCCTGGATCTGGTAGGCCTGCTTCTCGGTGTAGCCGTCGACAGGTCCATCCTTGGCCTGGAGGTCCAGACCAAGGACAACAGCGCCCTCACGGATGAAGGTCTCAAGGATACCCCGACCAAATCCCTGAGTAGAGCCAGAGACGACAGCGATCTTTCCTTCAAGACGACCAGGCATGTTGGCGGCAATTTAGTGTATTCTGTTTTCGAATATAGAGGAAGAGAAGATGAGGTGTTGAGTCTGTTACTTTCTTCTGAGATTCCTGACAACAAGAGGGTTCTTAATACCCATCGCGTCAAGACAGTTGGAGGCACCAGATGCGACTCCAATATCCCCAAGTGACATCTCGGCCCGAAGGAGTCAAGATTGCGGAACTGGCGACCAGGTGCACCCACTTTTTCTCCGCATCTACCCCGGATCCTAGTTCCGCTCCAACAGAGATTCCCATTCTTCAATCTCGTTTCATTCCAAGGTCCATCGTTTGTCCTATTCCTGTTGTTGCTCGGCCCGTTACCCAGATTCATGCACTGACCTACTCGTCTCATGGCCCCATCAACAGTCACCCCGTCTAATTTCCATCGCGCACCAGTGTGAGTGACCCGAGCATTCGGCACGCCATTCCATTGACATTATTGACACTTTACAGAGCCTGTCTCAAATGCCGGGCTGGAAAGGTCCGATGTCTTGTCGCGCAAAACGCGAGCCAGTGCCAACGATGCACTACCAACAACACAGAATGTGTGTTTACCCAGCCCAAGAGAGCTAGGCATCGACCAAGGATCCACCCGCACTCTCGGCGACTAAGGGTCCAGGAACATCAGAGTCAACAGGAGCAGCAAGAGGAGCAGCCGGCTCCGGCTTCGGACCATGTACACATCTCGTCGGCGCCTCCATCTCCTCCTTCTCCTCGTGTCGATCATCATGCTCATAGGGCGCTCATTACTCCCGATATTCGGGCACGGATAGTCTCTGCCCTCGCTACTCTCAAAGGAAAGAGGGGTGCGCCCTTTAGCTTTGTCACGTCCGGGGACAGGCGCGCTGGGGCCGACGAGTCAACCCCCCAGCAGCTACTATCATCTGATCAGCTACAGTCCTCGGGCCCCACGTTGAAGTTGTCATGTCTTTTGAGCCCGCTTCAGCCCAGTGGCCTATCTCACCCCCAAAATGATGTCCATCAGCCTGGTCCTTTGGTCAAGATGCCCACATATCGTGACTCGATGACACTTGGACAAACCGTGACAGACCCAGTTGATAACGGCATCCTTAGCCGCTCGGCATCTGAAGCTCTGTTTCACCATTTCATGCTTGGAATGAATGCCAAGTGGGAGTACCTCCTCGACCCCCACGTCGATACCCACGATGATGTTAGGCGAAGGAGCCGGCTGCTTTTTGCCACCATTCTATACTGCTCGTCCAAGTTTGCGAATTTTATCAATGGTAAACTTGTTTCGACAACAGACCCTTTTCTTCAAAGTCGTCTATGCAGCGTTGCGCGAAACTTGGCAGTGACGGCATTCGCCGAAGGAGACAGATCAATTGAATCTATGCAAGCGTTCTATCTCTTGGCTTGCTGGAAAGATGCAGACGACGACGTCTCTTATCGACATAGTGGCTACGCTTTCCGCTTCCTCCATGATCTAGACTGGGAAATGGCCGATGACGAGGGGCACCAGGCGGTCAGAAGAAAGCGGACATCGGTGGCCCTGTTTCGACAGGACAAACAGCAGAGCCTCTTCTTCATGAAGCGAGCTACTTCAAGTATGAGTGACGATGACCATCCATTCGTCAACTACCTCGATACATGGCTTGGAATGCCACATGTGTTGCCGCAGGACTACATGGCTTGTTGTAGTGCTGATCTACGTCGTATACAATCCAAGATTCGCGGTCTTGTCCAGAAAGCCCCATCGCTTATGCTGTCATGCCTTTTGGAGCAGATGGACTCGGAATTGAGTAGGTGGAAGTCGACTTGGGAGGATCGGTTCAAAAGAAATCTCTCAAGACCATGTCCAGATGACTTGCCGTTTGATCGTCGACTAATGTACCCTGGGAAATATCATCTGCGAACGCTCATCGGCCTTTGGGAAAGCAGTGTTCGACTCAACATATCTTCCGCAATCCTTCGACAAGCAATAACTGCATCTGTCGCGGAGTCTCTACGAGCCAACGGCCACTCACCACCGTCTACTTTCAGGCTTGATCTACCTGGGATCCCGCCACTGGAGGACGTCTTGTCTCCGGATGTTGCTGGACTTAGGAGCAGCATCGAAGGCGGGTTCGAAACACTTCGCTATCTGCTTGAATTCTCACCCGAGGATTTACGACGTGCTCCTGACTCTATCCTTCTTCTCGGCCCGAACGCTGCCATCTTTTTATGCCTGCTGCTCTGTCTTCCGTGCAACGGTGTCCTTGGTCCAGCCTTTCAAAAGACGGCTATTGGCCTTATACAGGATATTGCTCGTCACGTAGGTCAAGCGGTGCAATCCCCCCAAGACATTGTCAATTTACACTCGGCGTATCTTGATTCGCTTGTCAATCTTTTGGGTCCAGCAACGCAACAATGGCCACCCATTATGGAGGAGCTGCCGGGTTTTGATTTATCACAATCACATCTAGAGACTAGTGATTTGCAGTTCGACGACACAGCAATGGAAGCTGCTCAGGTTTTGGCCGGAGGAATGGCGAGTGGACTAAATTGTAACATGGATGATCCAGATACCATGTTTGGATTAACGACGGAGCCGGAGCAGATGCTGCATATGCAAAGTCTTGCCAATCTCCTCGACGCAAGCCTCTTTTCGGCAATGTCGCCGATGTCTGCAGTCGTGAACAGCCACACGCAAGCATAGTTAACTTACACCTGGGCTTCAATACGCACTATGCACTATGAAACTAGATAGGTTCGACAGAGTCTATGTGTTTGTCGATTCAAGCTGCCCAATGCCTAAGCATGCTACGCTGGAGATGGTCTGCGCCGCGAATGATTCGGACAAAGCAGTACTTGGTGGCGAAGTGACTGTACAGTACAGCTGTAATCAGCAGACCTGGCAGGGCAATACCGTTGGACACCTTCTTGAACAGGGGCCCAGCTGATCCAGTGCTGGGCTAGCGAGGTACTGACCAATATTGCCGTAGACGATGCTAGCGATAGCGATGCAAGTTAGTACAATAAAGGCCTGGCCGCAAATCAAAGCTCGAGTGAATTTAGCGGGTTCCCAGATCTCGGCTGCTATGGAAAAGAAGACACCAGATGCTCCGACGGCGAACAGCTGATTCAAAATGGCAGTCATAGCATCCGCGAAGCTGGTGTTGGGAATGACTCTGATATCAAGGTCGATGGAACTGGTGGAAGGGCCTGCACCTGGCCGACTTTGAGTCAGACAAGCAGTGGCTGTGATCCAAGTGGACACTATGATACAAGCCACGCCGACCCAACTGACCCAAGCAATTTTTTCCAATGCTCTGAATCTAGCTCCAATGATGGGGGCAGCAATGCGAGCGAGAGCCACAAAGATTATGGTACAAGCGCCATGGTCGGAAAGGGCGTTGAAACCAACGGACGTGGTAAGCATTCCTGCACCAGCTGTCATGGCGAGATAAATGCAGTAGAAGAAGCCGGCGATTTCTCGAGCCTATTTTCCAAACAGAAGCTCAACGGCGTCATCGATGTTGTGCATGTGTGAGTAATATTGCCTTGCGTTTCTGCAAGGATAGCCGGCCATGGTTGAGATAGAAGCTAGGATGAGGAAATAAAATATGCCGGGAAAGAATCCCAAGGTGTGAAAAGTGCTGGGGAGACCCAAAGCCCCGAGGCCGATTTGGAACTTTGCTATGAGGACAGCTGCAGCTGGCCATGACACTCTGCGAAAGTCGACGTTGTCCTCTTCACTGCTGAACAGGCCCTGGGGAACCGCCCTCGGGCTTGCAAGGTTGGGCCTCTGCAACATCAAGATCATTGAAGTCTTGGCCATTCTGCAGTCTCGATATTGTCCTTCTTTGACTTCTCCATATTTGAGAAAGTAGGAAAGACAGAACTGAGAAAATGAAAAGGAATGTCAAATTTTGGACACTAGGGAAAAGGCACGCAGTACCTTTACATATTGCAGTGTAATTGAGTACTCTAGTAGTAGCTCAGTTTCTCATTAGCTACTAATAGATTTAAGACTTGGGCTATATCATAAAAAGTGGAGGATGCGGAGGAAGCATCCGGGGTTGTATCTCCATAATTATCGCAGAGGTAGGGGGATTGCAAGGTCCGAAATCGGCTCCGGCCCGAGTTGGTGTATTAATGCGTTGCTGAGGACTGTATGACTCGGGCCGAGAGGCTCTCCAGGTGAGTAGATCACAGCTGCTGATAAAGCCTGTTACTGAATTTGGCTCAAGTAACGGGCCTCGATGAACCTACCTCGGCTTGGGTCGAAGACTAAACATGTCTCGTTCAGGTCGTTGACCGTGCCGAGTAAAGTGACGCCGAACTAACATCCTTAATCTCGTCTTCAAATGCCGGCCATATATTAGTTGATCTTCTCTGACCCATTTCATGTGTTTATACACTCCTAATCATAGTCATGCTATTCCTAACAAGGCAACGAGCCACTTTGGCTGCGAGGCGTTATCCAACATTAATTGCCCCGCGCGCGATCAAATCAGTATCGACCTTGGCACAGCCTACGACCTTGTTGAAGCAATGGATCTCAAAAAGCAACAGGGCTACCTACGCTGCAGGTGGCACAGTTGCATTACTCGGAATGCTGTTACTGAAGCCAAATAGAAGCCGATATCCTGATAATCCGCAAGATGTTGAAGCCCTCCACAAAGTCCCATTTAGTAAGCTATTTTCGGGCTGGATGTAAGTCTGACCTTTCTAAAGATAAATAGCGAGTTGGCTAACGAGCACTCCACAGCGCGTTTGCATTCTGTTCTTCGCCAACCTGGGTCGATATGAGCGAGACACTCTATAATATCGTGTCAAAGATTCCCATCCTCTCTTCGACTACGCACAAATTTGTCATGAAGACATTCTTCAACCAGTTCCTAGGTGGAGAAAAAACTGAGGACTGCATGCCAAAGATCCAATACCTTCGCGAGAATCAAATCGGCACGCTCCTCGGATATAACATCGAGGCTGAGTTGGATGGTTCAAGCAAGGACCCCACTTTGATCCTTAAGCAGACACAGCTTGTCCTGGAATCTATTGATGCTCAGGGAAAATTGGCCAAGAAGTACTGTCCTGATGCTAGTGCGTATAGCGGCGATAACCGGTGCTGGGTCCGAATCAAGATCACTGGCTTGTTGCCTCATCCTATTGCCCTGTACAATGGATCCAATGCTATACTTAAGGCAAGGGAGGAAAGGGGATTGGATATGGATGTGCCTTACCCAGGACTACCTCACGATGGCGATTGGGAGGCCGCACTGAATGGAAGAGAGGTTACTGAGTCGGACCGCGAACAATTGTTGAGCTTACGCGCTACCATGGAGGCTATTGCTAGCAAAGCACGAGATAACAACGTCAGAATTGTTATCGATGCTGAGCAGTCATGGTACCAGCCCGTCATCGATAGTCTCACCGACGAGCTCATGCAAAAGTACAACACCTTGGACGGCCCGGCCACTTGCATCGCCTCATTCCAAGCCTACGTCCGCCGATACCCCCAGCTCCTCAACCAGCAGATAGCCCGTGCTAAAGAGCGTGGCTACAAACTGCTATTCAAACAGATCCGAGGCGCCTACATGGTAACAGAGGCTGAGCGGTGGAAGGCAGATGGTAAAGAAGGACCCGGCCCCGTATGGCCAACCAAGGAAGAGACCGATTCAAGCTTCAACTATGGTATCGAGAAGACCCTGGCTACCGTTGCTCAACAGGTGCGAGAAACGGGCCATTCCAAGCTCAGCGCCGTTTTCGCTACCCACAACTCCATCAGCGTCGATCTCGGGCTAAACCTACTACAGAGGCATGGATTGGCTCGGCGAAACGACGAAAACGGAAAACTAGTGGTTTCCAAAGAAATAGCCGGCAGTATCGCATTTGCCCAGTTGTACGGCAAGTTGCCATTTATGCGAAGCCGTAACGATAACTCATCTGGCTAACTTATGTACAGGAATGAAGGATGACCTCACCAACAAGATTATTGGTTCAATAGAAGCGGAAGGAGGCTTCCCACTTGTGGTCAAGTCAATGAGCTACGGCGACTTGAAGGAGTGTCTGCCTTTCCTGGCTAGACGAGCCATAGAAAATAAGGCTGTCCTTGAGGGACGAGGTGGAGCTGCTGCCGAGAGAGTTCGACTCGGTCGTGAGATTTGTAGACGTATCCTTCCTTTTACTTAGTATGTAATACTGTTATATATTAGTTGGAGTTTTGTTAGTTACCTAAGCCCTAAACGTGCCCTTGTTTGTATTATAGGTATCCTGCTATTGCTCCTCCTCTATTTCTTAGTTTAGATTATATTAATTAGTAATAATAGGAATTAAACCTATCTTACCCTTAAACTCTTATATATTACCTTTATATATTTTATATTCTAGTAGGTTAGCTATTTTTAAGGTATTAAGATATTAAATTATTTAATAATAATAAAACGCTTAGCCTATTATAGGCCTAAGAGGGGCTAATAATTAGAAAAGAGCTTATTAATAAAATAAATATAAATAATATAAAGATAAAATAAAGATTAAGATTATATATTAAAGTATTATATTTAGACTTATTTCCTTTTTTATTTTTTTTTATTTTTATAATTATATTAATTATATTTCTTCTTAGTTATTACCTTAATTATTTACTTCTACTTTAGCTATACCTTTAATACTAATAAAATAATAACTAGAGCAGCCTTATTAAAAGAAGGTATATCTAGAGCTTACTGCTAAGCCTTATTCTTATATTTTAAGGTCTCTTTACGCTTTATATACATCTGGTCGAGGTTTTTTGAGCTTAGTGATTTCACTTGACTTCTATATTATCTTAATAGAGGCTTTAGCAGAAGATAGTTATTATTATTAATAAAATATCTACTAGTAATATTTAGTTATAATAAATAGGTAATAAGCTTTATTATAATAAGTATATATTTATATAAACTCTTATAATAAGGCTAGTCTTTTATTATCTTATATCTTTAATAATATTCTTATTTATTATAATTAAAATATCTAGCTAAGCTATAGTTTATTTAAAATACTTAAAATAGTTTATTATATCTTTTTAATTTTCATAATTTATATAATTTTAATTTAAAAAAATAGAAATTATATTGTAAGACTAAAAGGCGTATAAGGATTTTAAATATAAGTCTAGTAACCTAAATAAAGTCCTATTATAGCCTTAAACCTAAATCCTCTTCTTAAATATCTCTTATTTCTTGCCCTTAGTTAGTTTCTTTAAGACCTTTATATCTTTATTATTAAATAAAATAGTAATCTCTTTAAGTATTAAACCTTTAGACTTAATAAATAAAAACTATATATAAATTACTTTAATATTTAAAATTATAATATAAATAAAATAAAACTTTTAAGCTTGCTTATTTAAGCTAATAGGGTTTATATATTAGTTTAAAATACTAAATACAGCTATTATATTTAGATAAATAGCTAAGCCTTTAGTATAAATATTATATAAAAGGATCTTAAAGTAATAGGTAATAGTTAAGCCTGGCTACATAAAGCTAGTAACTTTATAAAAGAGAAACATTATAGCTAGAATAGCTTATTTAATACTTATATTACTTATATTAATATATATTATAAAGTATTTATAAAAATATTAGTTATTTTAATAAAATTAAGTTAAATTAAGGGGGCTATACCTTATCTAGATATTAAATATTATAAGTATACTAATAGCTATAATAAGAAAGATTAGGTTATATCTTTTAATAAAGTAAATTGAGAAATTAATTACTATAAGGAAAAATTAAATTTAAAGATTATTATTAAATAATAACTAATTATAAGGTTTTTAAATTTTAATAAAATTTAAAATATTATAAAAGTAATAAGATATAGGACTATTTCTTATATTAATTAATATTAATATTTTATATATAGTTTTTAAGGTTTTATATTTAAATATTAAAAAAAGAATAAAATTAAGATAATAAGTAATAGATACTTATAGTTACTAAGGGTTTATAAGAAAACTATCTAGCTAGTCTTAGCTACTTAAGTCTTTAGCTAAATAGTATCTTAAATCTCTATATATTTAGCTTAAATAAAAGGGTTGGTCCTGTTACTATTCGTATAGTACTATTAAGGCCTTAATCTTAATACTTTAATAAAGGGAGCTAAGTAACAAGGCAGATCTTCTATATACCTTAACCAGGATATTTAAAGCTTCTTTATTCCTGCCTTTAGAGCAAAGCTAGCAAAGACTCTTAGGCAGGGTAAATACCTTAAGTAATTATAGTAGTAATATAAGAGCTTAAAGGGTAATAGGAATATACTATAAGGCTTTTTTATAATAGTTAGGTTTTCTAAACAGGTAAACTAGTCCATATTAGGTTTATGTTTATAGATTATATAAGGCATAATACTAAGTATTATAAAGTATTATATCTCTTAATAATTAAGTAATATATATTAGGCTTATTAATATAAAGATACTTTATTAATAGCTAGTAAGCTAAGTCTTATAAAAGTATTAATAAATATATTCTTATATACTAAAAGTAGCCTAATAGCTTAGTAAGAAATAATAGTAATTTAAAAGTTAAATCTCTAGGGATTATTAGTAATTTATAGTAATCTAGTTTTAAAGTATTATAATTTAAGTAATTTAATAAAAGAGGATTATTACTAGGAGAAGTAATCCTTTTATAATAAGTAGAAATTATAAAGGCCTTATAATATAGCTATATAGGCTATAAGATAATCTCTCCCCTTTATTAGGTCTTATCCTTAAGACCTATATATCTCCTTATTCTTATATTAGGCTTTAGTAAGTGCTAATTTTCTTCCTTTATTATTTTCTTAATATACTTTACTAATTATTATATTATAAAATCTTTAATTAAAATCTTATAAGACTTTAAAGTATATTTATTTAATAGATTTAATTATAAAATTTAGTTTTAATATTATGCCTTATTCCTTTTATAAGGCTAAAGGCCTTTATTATAAAATAATTAAGTATTCTTCTTATTATTCTAAATATACTTAATAAGGTTATTCTTATAATGCTTTTAGTATTATAATTACCTATTATATATTATTTCCCTTATTATTATTGCCTTTACTAACTGTCTTTCCTTTTTTTTTTTAATTCCTTATTTAAATTATAAGTCTAATTATCTAAAGCAGGTAGAAAAGGAAGTTAAGGAAAAGCTTTTTAAGGCGTAATAAGAGGTTAATAAGGCTATTATAAGATTATCTTATATTTATTACTAGAAACATTTATTATATAAGCAGGGTATCTAGTTTATTATTAATAATATAAATTCTTCTATAAGTAATATTATTACTTAAAAAGAGGATATAGCAGTTTTAGATATTTAGTCTTTTAGTAGTGCTAATATTATTAACTAAAACCTAATTTTTAATCCTTTGCTTTCTAAGGTTATTAATAAAAATTCTTTAGGAGTTACTAGGTATTAATAAGGTATCTTATTAATTCTTATATATTTTTGCTTTTTAAGTAGTTTTTCTATTTAATTAGATATATCTTTTATTTATTAATTCTTTATATATCTTTAATTTCCTTTACTTTATATACCTTTAGTCTTATAATTTATTATAGTTTATTGCTGGTTTTTATATATATTATATTTATAGCTAATTTAAGTATTAAGATATAGTAAATTAGGTAGTATTTAATATTTAGAAATAAGTCTAATTTATATTAACTTTCCCCTATTTTTTATTTAATCTTAATTAGTCTTAAGTATTTATAATCTAGTTTATAGCTTAGTTAATTTATTTTAATATTTTTAGTAAATAAGTAAACTATATCTCCTTTTTTAAAGGTTAGTCCCTTTAACCTTTTAGGGTTATAATATCTTTATATCCTTTTCTTAATAAATTCTAGGTTAGTCTTAAGTTTATTATATATTTCTCTTAGCTTATTACTTATAATAATTATTACTAGGTTTATATTCTTAAGTTCTTAAGTATTATAATATATATTAAGTATAAATCTAATATTTGTATTAAATAGTATAAGCTTTATACTCTTATTATAGGTAGTATTATAAGCTAGTTAAGCATTTAGTAACTTCTTAACCTAGTTATCTTATTTATAGTTAATATAATACTAAAGGTATTATTTTAATACTTAATTTATTTATTTTATTTATTTATCTACTTATAGTCTAAAAGCTATTATAAGTCTATAACTAACTTCTATAAGTATTATTAGTAATTGCTAAAATTTAAAGGCAAATATTAGTCCTCTATTTAATAAAATCTCTTTTAGTAATCCTTATTTTCTTACTACCTTATTATAAAAGATATAGGCTATAACTTCTGTATTTATTACTTCTCTATAAGGTAAGTAAATTAAGAATTTTATAAGTCTATCTATAATAACTATAATACTATTATAATAGATTCTAGTTAAAGGATCCTTTAATAATAGTAATTTAGTTATAAAATCTATTATAATTAAGCTTTATAGTTATTTTATAACTTTTATTAGTTATAGTGTTTTATAAGGTTTATATTAGTATACTTTTATTCTGGTGTAAATATTGCATTATTTAATAACCTTTTTTATTACCTTTTATATTATTTAATAACCTTAATATAATAGTTATTTTAAGGTTTTAGTAACTCCTTAATATTTATATAATAGGTATATATAGAATTCTTAAATAAATTCTTATAGTTTTTTTAGAATTTCTTTAATTATATTTATTTATATTTATTTTAGTATTACTATTTTCTAGGTAAATTAGTATTCTCCTTATTATTCTTTTTTAATACTTATTCTTTTACTTTAATAATACTAATATTATAATCTAGTTATTAGCTAATTATATTTACTTTACTATTTTTTAATCTTTTCTAGTAAATAATTATAAAGTTAAATTTATATAAGAATTCTATATAATATAGTTATTATTTATTAAGTTTATAAGTTATAATAAAGTATAAAATATTTTAGTAATTAATATAAACCTTAACCTTATACTTACTTTTTATTAAATAGTATTTAAATTCTTTAAAGTAATTAACTATTACTAGAAATTCTTTATTATAAATTAGGTAATTAAGCTCTGCTCTATATAGTTTATATAAATAAAAAGTAATAAGATATAGCTTTCTTTCCTTATCTCTCTAACTAATTTATCTTCTTAATATAAAGTCTAATATATCTATTTCTAGCTTAATTTCTTTCTTAAAATTAAATATTATTAAGACTAGTTTACTAAGGAT